AGCGCTGAGCACGAGGGGGCTTGTGCCGCCAGCGTTTTGATAACCTCTCTGGCAAAACCAGCAGCATCATTGCCGTACGCATAACTGTTTGACGCATTCCCATATTTCAGGCCGATAATGATGTTCATGTTATTTTTTCCCCTTTCTCTTACATGCGTCATTTATAGTGTTAGGAATCAATAGAATCTGCAGTGGTACAAACGTACATCTGGCCATTTGGTCAATCCACTGCTGGATAAGGGCCCTACCCTACCGTGCCGTGCAGGTCTCATGGGTTGTTTGATCTTCACTGGTCGGCGTGGGTTGGTGAAGGGGAGGGAAAAGCAGGATCAGTTCTGATAGAGCTCGCCACTAATGCTATAGCCGCGGCTGACAATCAAACTTTGGTGGCCAGGTTGACGGCGCAGTTTTTGCTCGCCATTGTGCCACACCGTTCCACCCCTTTATTTTAATAGAGGCAACGTTTCAGTGTCTGAACGGGTCAATATATCTAATCTGCTGGTTATTTAAAGGATATTACTATTTATTACTCTTTGACTTTACTTCACCACGCTGGTCAGCACTCGTTGGAGGGGAGCTGTCAGCTGTCAGCTGTGGCCGAAGTTAGTGGCAGCCGCAGCTGACGCGAGGGGACCAGGTTTGTGGCATTCCGCTATGGGTCTGGTCAGAGGGATTCTTAGCGGAATGCGCAAACCACTGCGCCACCGCTCTAAGCCGCAGCGAATCATGCCTCTACAAACGGCAGGACCCTCCCGAGGAACCGTCCTGGCTCATGAAAATAACGAGCCGCGACGGCACCCATCTTCTGTGGCCCACCTTATCCGTGCCGAATTGAACTTGGCCGCCACGCGGAGGAGGAGGCCTTGAGAGCCACACCCACCGCGCCCAGCCGGGAGGTTAAACGTCACCCATCTCCCTGCACCTCCCAAGCAGAACATGTGGGAGGCAGCCATGCTTGTTACTGTTTACAGAGTTGTGTAGTTGTTTGCGTATGCCTGTGTGAATTGATTGCGTGGAGCGGACAATGCATTGTGCTACACGACCCGGTGACCCGAGTTCGATTCCCGCTCACGGCCAACACCAGTGACGATTATCTGAACCGGTCTCGGGCCTTCCCTAGATCGACTCAGCCTCAAATGAGTACCTGGTGCGGTGGGTAAATGTCGCCACTAAGGAGACAAAGGCGGCCGGGCGTGGTGTTGGCCAACCACTCTCTCGTGTGCCATGCCGGCCTTCATAGGTGCTCGCTAACGGCACTTGTCCCAACAGTCTGTTCAGGCTTTACGGAGATCTTTGTCTTTGTGTGAATTGATTGTGTGGAGCGGGCAGTGCATTGTGCTACACGACCCAGTGACCAGAGTTCGAGACGCGGCCACGGATAACCTTGGTGACGAGTGGTATCCGGGACACGTCCTCCAACTTCCCCAGGTCAACTCGGCTTAGGGGAAGAGTGGGGTGGCCGTGTGTGATGCTGGCCTCACCACCTCCTTGTGCTCTGTCAAAGTGATTAGCATCTCAAAAACGAGCGTTGAGGTGGTATTGGTGCTCATCTGTTCACAGCCCTGAGCCAGCGGTAGAAAATCCACATTGCTGTGGTGAGGCCGAGTCTATCCTAATGGCAACCGCTATTGACTTCCCCACACAACGTGGAATGTATTTTACCGACCCTAGAGTGATGATGGTTTGGCGTCGATAACCCCCAGCCAGGATTTGAAATCAAAATCTTTCTGGGATTGCAAGCCGCCCGCTCAAGCGGTGTGCACTCCCGGCTGGCGACTTGTGTTCTGTGCCAGCTTTAATAGGAGCTTGCCCCACAGCACTTATCCTGGCATGATGGTTTGGCGTCGATAACCCCCAGCCAGGATTTGAAATCAAAATCTTTCTGGGATTGCAAGCCGCCCGCTCAAGCGGTGTGCACTCCCGGCTGGCGACTTGTGTTCTGTGCCAGCTTTAATAGGAGCTTGCCCCACAGCACTTATCCTGGCAATGTTAGCGGCTGCATAGGAGACTTATGTCTTTGTGTGTAAGTGTATCTTTGGGAACGGTAGTGCAGCGGTTAGCACGCTCCGCTACGAAACTGGCGACCCGAGCGAGAATCCCGTTCATGGCCGTGGGCCTCCCTGAGGGTCGACGCAGCCTCTCATGAGCACATACCTGGTGCGGTGTGTAAACATCGCCACTAGGGAGACAAAGGTGGCCGGGCGTGGTGTTGGCCACCCACCCCCTCGTGTGCCATGTCGGTCTTCATAGGTGCTCGCTAACAACACTTGCCCCAACTGGTCTGTTAAGGTTTAATGGAGGCTCTTTATATTTTGTCCTGTAGCCTAGTGTTTAGCGCACTACGCTACGAATCTGGTTATCCGAGTTCGATTCCTGGTGAATATTTGAACCGGTCCTGTGCCTCCCCAAGGTTGACTCGGCCTCAAATGACTACCTGGTGTGGTGCGTAAACACGAGCACTCGGACACGTTCTTGGCTGCCACATAAACATTCTTGACCATTGGTCACCGATCCTTCTCGCGACACCGCTTCCTGTTGTCGAGCGCTGATAATTAATCACCGCGCACGGTTGGCCATCGCTCGGACCCCCGCTCTGCAAACAAACAAGGACAGCACTCTGTCGGAAATGTCGGTGGTCTGACACACGGGTGGTGCAGGAAATGGCCCAGACCAGGGAGGAAGATAAAAAAAAAACATTAATTCAAAAGAAGCATAGATACAGAAAGGCTCGGAGATCGCGCTGCCCCTTTGTGTGGCCGCTTGTCAACAAGCATCGCAGAAAGGGGAGACCGGAGTTGCATTCCTCTCGGTGGAATCTCTCTCCTCCTCCTCCTCCTCGCCGCCATGCCACTGGCTACCCGCCCGTTCTCCGGATTAGCCTCCCCTCCCAGGATCACAGGCACAGAGCGACGCTAATCCAGGAGCTGTGTGAGCGCGAGCAAGCCCAGCGAGCTGGTGCGGTGTCCCCAGCGTCACAGATGATTAGCTCTGGAAATGAGGGGTGTCATGATTGCCTCACCACCCCATCCGCCCGATTCCATCAATTGTTGCGATTCGGTTCAGGAGGAAAAGATGTTCCCCAAAGTGGCTGTGGATGGTCGCGCTTCGAGTGGCTGCAGGGGTGGCATCAGCCCATGACATAAATTGTAAACAAATCTACCAAAACGTCGATTCTTACTCGATTCAATGCGTGTATCTCGTGAGCTTAAGCATCGATATGAATCGAGGTGTCCCTGCTGTGAGCGTTTCCTTTGTCACTGATATTTGGCATCACAACATGAGAATGTTCCTTCGTCCATGCCACATGTACCAACACATAGCTTGTGCTGGCACTTGTCAATCCACTGCTAGAGGACCTCTCCATACATTACGGTCCATGGGAAGTTGCATGACCATAGTTCACCACCCCGGTCGGTGCGGGTTGGTCAAGGCAGGGTACATAGAAGTACAGTGCAACAGTGGATTTCGCTTCACTACTCTCTGCTGCCCGTAACGTAGCCTCACAGCATGGGGCTCGCCGAGTCCATCCCTGAGTTTTAATTTGTCTTGGCAGTTTTTTTTTTCAACACTCGTGTGAACAGGACAATTAACTCGAGCACTGCCGCCACTGCATTCCTGTGCAGCTATAAATATCGCGGGGGCGCCCAGAGCTCTCAAAAGCCTGGTCTTTTGGCAGCGCGCTTGGCCCTGAAGCTTGCTCGGAGCCCCGGCAGCAGCGACGGGGGAAACAATCGGCCCGAAAGAAACGAATGACGGGGAGAGTGAGAAGTAATGAAGGAACCGCGGTCGCGACGCTTGTGGCTGAAGGAGGTGACCTCTGGTAGAGGGGGGCGATCGCAGAGCTCTTCATCTCACTACTTGCCGAGTCTTTACAGTGGTATAGGGGTGGAACTAATTTATATACACCCCTCGCCACCTAGCAATGTGATGAATTGTTCTGATTCCGGGTAGTTATTCAATGAAAGAATCGGTTTTTTTTCCCCCGACCAAGAACTGCATCAAGATCGAGATGTGTTTGTTTCCAAAGCCATTCATTGATGCTGCCACCACGGCCACTGCCACCGCACCTCGTCGCCAACGCTCCCTACCCTCCACCAGATAACCGCAGCTGCTGCAAAGTAGACGCACGACGACCTCCAAGATCTGCCCTGACAGTATCCCACCATCCGATTTCATTTTTTCTTCTTCTTCGTCTCTGGATTTGTGGAGACAATGATTCCGGTGACCGATTACCCCACGACAAAGCATGGCAGGAGAGCCCAACTGAGAGTTTCCGGTCTGAGATATCCGTATTGCGTGTGCGAGCGTTCGGTAGCGGGAGACGTTGAGAGAAACAACAGTGGTTTCTGTTTTTCGAGCGTTGCGTGCGAATGGTAGCGCCTCTAGTGGTCGCAGGGGTCACGTGAACCTGGTGCGCAACATACGAATTGAAAATCTATCGAGACATGCGATTTGATGCACGTGTCGTGAGATTGAGAGTCGATATTCGTCAGTGAGTTGTTGATTCGTTAGACACACTACAGTTTGCTGCTCATCCAGTCTCACAGTTATTGATACTGCAATTAAATTACATTATTCACCCCACGATAGATATATCCGTATACATTTGTATCGCTAATTACAGTGTTTATGCTTGGGCGGTGCAATGGCGAGCGAACTGAGCTTTGAACTTGGCAACCAGAATTTGCTTCCCGGCCACGGCTAACATCGGTGGCAAGTGAGGTCCGAACCATTCCTCGGTCTCCCACCCACCCACCTGCCTTCACCAGCCTGCCATTGTGACCATCTTGGGTTGAAGTATGACCAACGTGGCATGTCGAGGATTTCGTCCAGCAGGTGGATTAACATATGTCTGTAGTAACGTAATACCATACAAAGTAACGCAACGTTTTTGGGGCGGGGGGTGGGGGAGTATTTTTAAGCGCCGAGCGTGCCACCCGTGGGTTGATGCCCGCGGACGCCCTTTGACCTCCTTGTTGCTGTGTGTGTTTTTTTTGCAGGACACCCTGCAGCAGCTGATAATCATGATGCCACCCCACGTGCTGACCCTGGCTCGCGACCCCTTCTCCGGTACGGCCTCCGCTGCTCGCCCACCGTCCCACTCCATACATGTGCACGCGCGACCCTTTTGCTCAATCCACTGCTGGACGTATGTATGCATGTTGAACTACTTTCGCACGTAGCCAACCACGCCAATCGGAGGTGAATGTGGGCCTCCCTCCAACCCATGCCATGCGGCTAGTTATTTGAGGATATTTCATCACGTTGGCCGTTTTCGGGTTGATGAAGGCGCGGTATATAGAAGTGCAGTACAACAGTGGATTTTGCTACACTGCTCTCTGTTGCCCCAAAATGTGTTTTTCAGTTCTCATAAATGTGAACAGTATATCCATCATTTAAAAAAATTTCAAGTTAGTAGAAATTGGTTAGAGATGTGGACTGATAAAGTCAATAAAGATTAAAAAAAAAATTCCTTGAAATAAATGACAACAGGAACGCTATGAAGATGGCGTTAAATGTGGCGGCGGGTGCACGCCTGTTCCAGCTCGCTCGCGTGCAAATCTAATTTTAATGTTAAGAGCAGAAGCCGTAAAAAAACTGTCGCAAATATTTAATCGTTTAAAACCCCACGGCGCCGTAAACTACACCATATGGTTTCGCCTCTCTGTGCAGTCGGCGTTAGGGTGTTCTCTCCGCTCGTTTGCATTGTGGTTTTCTGCGGCCACTCTACCAACATGAAAAAATATTTTAGAAGGAACTATCCAAATATCTCAAATGGGCAAAGGAACCCAGGACTCCCTGGGTAAATGGATAATTGCAATAGAAGTCGAGTGTATCATATTCCCGCGCGCTCTCCCTCTCTCTGCGACACATTTCTGCGGCTTTTGAAATCTGAACGGCGACAGAGGGGGCTGGGGGCAGTGGTGGGATCCTCATGTGATTTGGATCCCTGGGGCCGCTATTGAACGTCGGGCCACCGGCATGGCGGTCGCCGGAGAGATAAAAAAAAATATAAAAATCCAGCACCTCGAGCCGTCCGCGCGCCGGCGTGACCTTCACGCAAATGGCTGCGCGTCTGTAGCCCCACTCCCCACCCCCCCCCCCCCCCCGTCTACCCCACATTTCTCCGTTTAACCCTTTTCTGGCAGCGAGGCCCGGTTGCCACGGGGGCCTTGAGAGGCATCGATCACGCGGCCGCTGGGTTGCAAGGTAACCTCTGTCAGTGGGTTGATTGAAGATGGAAGATCAATGCTGCTGAATAGAGAGAGACTGGTCTCTCGGTTGTCTTTGTCACGACGAAAGACTCGGCATAGCTCGCTGATTAGCGCACGACGAATCACCGTTTCGTCTATTTAAGAGGATTGCCTATGTTTGCAATATTCACGTTTAATCGGGCCCGTGAGAATTGACTATTTACAAAGGGTGGAATTTGGACGATCGTGCCATGTTTAAAAGCAGACAGGGGAACAACAAGAATGATTACAAACGATATAGAGAAAAAATCAAGAGAATAATTATTCAGTTCTTGAATTGCTTCGCTGCTCTGAATCGTGAGGGTGGGGGGGAATTGTTACCTGCTTTGACTCACAGATGAGTCCTTATGAAGGCAAAACATTCTGTCTCCCCGGTGCAGTGAACCACTTATTATCCTTAGCTGGAAAGTGTGTTGGCCTAAAAAAAAATCACTAATGCAGTCTTCAGAAATCGGAATCGGAATATTTATTTATACTGGGGGAATCCAACCAGCCATAAAGCTATTTTTCAACGAATGTCCAGGTCAGGGCAGGTCAGAACGTTACTACAACAAACGGGACAAAAACACGATAGGAGTACAAAGTATAGAAAAGGTAAACAAATCACTTGGTAAAAATATTTCCAAATTAAACTAAACATTTTTTTTCTGATCAGGTAAAGCCCACTGAGCTATTAGCTTATTTTTCAGAAGCCCAAGTGATAACTCAACAAAGTGGCTTATCATGTGGAGATTAATAGCAGCAAAATAATCTAAATGCATGTTTCTAAATTGCTGTCAAAAGATTGTACTTTTTTCCCCCACTTTCTAGGCAAGGAATGGTTATTGCATCAATTGTGTTCAATGTTTGTCTTATTTAAACCGGGCAGCAAAGGGTCTGCATTTGACCGCTACAGCACACAGTCAGATGACCGAATTAAACTCAAATCAGTGCTCGCGAGCAGAGCTCAGCAAATCCCAAAGTGCTTTTTAAATTTAATTTTGTTTTCGATGTCGGCAGCAGCAGAAGGCGGCGTGGCAGAACGGCCGCCTGCCCGCCCGCCCATCCGCCCGCCGTATTTAATCCTGCACGTGCCTGCCGACCTTTAGCAACAGATGGCACGACGGTCAATATTCGCTATCGTGCGGACGAATATTGCGAAAAAAGAAATCCCTTTCACAGGACGCGTAAACGAGCGATGCTTTTTGTGACGTGCGGCAAAGCATTTTTTTTTTTTGCTGCTGCAATTGCACCACGGTAACGAACGACCCTAATATCGTTGGCGGTGCGGTTGCTCGTGTTTATGATAAGTGCACGGGGATGGGGCGTCAAATTAAGCCAAACAGCTGGGCTGTAACGCACAACCTGAGACCACTGAAATAAATTTTCTTACGCCACCAGCTAGAGCGGTGGCGCAGTTGTTAGCGCACTGTGCTATGAAACCAGTGACCCGTGTGCTTGCTTAAACAAACGCTGTTTGATAATATCGATCTGGAAAGCCGGTAGGCTGGTGGAATAAAACATATTTATACCTGGAGTAGGCACTGAGTCCTGCTCATATTTGTTTTTACATCTGTGCGGTATCTGTCGTAGCGAACAAAAATCACTCTGTTTGTTAAGAAAAGTAAGTTGGCTTGGGCAGGACACGTCACTCGAAAAGACTAATTGCAGAGTGGAAGTCAAAGGAGTGAGACGCTCAAGTGAACGTCGACCGGAGAGATGGAGTCCGCTTGGGCGAAGGAGCTTAGCTGTGTTATTTGTATTGCAAGACAAAGAGAGGAGATGGTGACGGCCTTCATCCAGTCTTGGATAGATCATAGATTATGATTATGACGATGATGAGTATTTATCACAGAACTCTTCTCATAATTCATTTATATTCTAAGGCCGCACTCCTTACACACAAAGTGCGTGCCACAAGTGAACCACAATACCATTCTGATCTCGTCAAGGAGCATAAACCATCATGCCAACTCTGGTAATCCTCGCAGCAGTTTTTTGCTGGCCATCAAACAAAGATGATCACTGCATCGTGCGCTTTCAGATGCCCTCCTGCGGCCGTCTGGAATGCTCATCCCTCCAATATTAGGAAGACACTGGATCTCGGCACTTTTAAATCTAGATTGCAAATTTATTTCTTGAACTACTTTTTGTGTTTAGTTTGTTGTCCTTCCCCCGCACCTCCGATTAGCACGGGGTTGGATACGTACTGTGCGAAAGAAGTTTGACATACATAATTATGGTCTCTCTTCCAGAATCCTAAAAATTACTTGACAAATGAATCATATTACGGAAATGAAGCAGTTGTATTGAATTGCTGTAGATCTGGCTCGTTTTCAAAGAGGCGTTCGCCCCGCGCTCGCCCCGTCCTCGCTCGTTCGCCATCAAGCGGGCGGACGGCTCCGCTGCTTGCGCCTTGTGTGCGCCCGAGCACTTTCGGAAAGTGGTTCCGTCATGTCGCATTTCGCTCATCGGCTAATGTAGGCCATTTTCCAGACACGACTGCCGCAGTGACCGCACCCATCACCGCCATCGCCGCTGCTGCTGCCGTTGTCGTGCGTTTTAATCCGGCTCGGCACGCCATAGCGGTGGCGCGAGTTCGCGTGAGAGCCGCGTTTGCCGATGGGGAGAGAGACAGGGAGAGAGAGAGAGAATCGCCGTCCTCTGCAGATATGCAGATTTGCTCGAATGCAATGAAGCAATGGTCCTTGCAAAATTCATCTCGGAAGCAGGATGATAACGAATGAGCAAATTAAAAACCGTCGGGGTGGAGAGGCCGTGGTGTAGGAATTATCGCCATGACGAAGCCGCCAACCCGAGTTTGATTCCCAGCCACAGCTGACGTCAGTGACAAATGATGTTGTACCCTGGGTTGTTAATGAGAAACAAAACTAATTAATTGTTTGCTCAAGTCCATCATTATGACACCGTACTGCTGTCACGTGCGCACATTTTAATACATCGTCATCGCGGTGATATCACAAGATTTGTATAATGGCATGGCTGACTTAATTTATACATTTTTTTAGTCAATGAGGTTTTACAGATTTCTAAAGCCTCATTTGTATCTCCTAAACAGCCCTCTATTTCGTGGGTTGCTTCTTCGGTTTGCATGAAATCTGTAAGAGCGCTGTGTGTGTGTGTGTGACCTATTAGTTGTCGAGCGGTTTTCAACGCAGCTAGCGGACTCGAGTGACGCCTGGCCCCGAGATGGAGGGGGCAGCGTTCACTCATCACAGGGGTTGTCCCAGTTTCCGAGGCCGTGTTGACAGCGCAAATGCCCGAAAGGGGGTGGGGGGGGGGTGGGAGGGGTGTGGGGCGGGGGGATCCTCAGACCTACTTTCCCAGCGCAATTCACCCCCTGACCTTGTTTCATCCGCCTACGATCGTCAACAGTCTGTCTGCCGTTCCATCGTAGATATTGATTTTCAGAAACAGATGCTGGTCCACCTGTCAAACCTGTATGCGTCTAATGGTGAGTCGATTCACCGCCGATCAATGCATTTGTATTCCCAATAAGCTCCACAATACTCCCATTGAATTGTGTGCGAGAGAATGCAAGCGTGGCACGTGCAGCGGGATCATGTGACCCTTGCAGACACGGGAGGTCACCACATTCAGCGCAGTGTCTCGATAGAGAATCAGTTCTGGAATTCGAATCGCCACCCTGAATCGTGACAATGTACTTGTGGAATTACTGATGCTTGGGCATTCGTGGGGCGGGGACGTGGGGTTAGAGTTGAAATGTCACATCCCCTTACTCGCCAGACACGCGCCGAGTCGCACGTGTGAGAAGCTACGTTTGTCGATACGTATGAACCGTGTGCGACGTCATCTCGTCCATGCAAGCTTGAAGCCTAACATCATTAATGGTGCTTAAATAACTCTCGTGGTGGGGGGCGGGAACGCGTCGTTGTTGGATGTCGTGAAGAGAATCCGTCCGCGTGCATGATTTTTATTCCTCGTGCTTTTCTTCTTCAGAGAAGAGCATTCTGGAGCTGAAGAAGTTGCTGCTGCTCATTCTGGGCTGCGCTGTGCAGGTGAGGAACTGGCGTGCGCCGCCCATGCCGTGCGCTCTCGGTCGCGATCGTCCCTTCCACGATTTTCTTTCAACAAACTCTCGCGGATCAAATCGGGCCGCATTGCGGTTCGGAGGCTTGATGTGTTGTTGTTGATATTTTGTCGTTGACGTGCTGTTATTTACGTGTCGTTGATGTGTCGTTCGTATATGAAGTGTGAGAAAAAGGAGAAGCACATCGAGAAAATCAAGGAACTAGACATCAACACCCAGGCGGCGATCGTCGCGCACATCAAAGAGGTGAGAATGCACGCTGCGGACTATTCCTTTCCGGATTATTCCGTTCGTGGCAGACGATGACAATAATGATCAATCAATCTTTATTGATTGATTTACAACAATAACAATAATTTACGGCCCTTTACAATCCCCTCCTGAACGAAGGCCTCGCCCACACCATATCACGCTTGGGAGGTTGTTTGACCATACTTCACCTTGCTGGTCAATGGCGGGTTGGTGAAGGGACCGATCAGGACCTTAAATTCAAACATCACTCGCCACCGATGCCAGCCGTGGCCAGGAATAAAAATCATGTCTTCTCGGCTCACTTGCGTATTGCGCTAACCACATTTTTTGTGAGCTTAAGAATCGATACGAATCGTTGAATTGTTGCACCGGATGGGTGTTGTGGTGTAGGCCAGGCCACGCACCACCACTTCTCTCCACCCCCCTCCCCTCTTTTTCCCCTCTCTCTCTCTGCGTTTATTCGTCCTCGGGCTGCACTTAGCGCGACGATGACGGGGCCCCGTAATTGCCTCCTCGGCCCTCCGCTGACTCGAGGGCACTTTCAGGGTTTATTTTTTTTAGTTCTAATGCCGGTTGTCTGCCTCGTGCGGCACAAAGCTTGGCGCGCCGCTTTCCACGGTGTTTTTTTTTCTACCTCCTTCCTCCCTTGGCGTGGTGCTGCGGTAAATGTCGGAAAAATGCCGACGGTGCCTGAGCATGGCGCCCCCGGCGCTTGCATTATGCATGCGGCCGAGCCCTCACGGTTTTTCCTTGCCATTGTTTGTTTCATTCGTTAACCTAACAACAACAATATTAAGTAATAATAATCAAATGCAATGGCCCTTTGGTAATGCACTATTAGATGAAGGCCTTCTCATGCCGTGTTGGCCGTGTGGGTTTGTTTTGACCATACTTCACCACGATAATTATTCCGATATCGATCACTATTGATGTTCGCCGTGGCTGAGAATCGCAGTCTTGTGGCCGGGCCATCTTTGTCTTCCCTGTGCTGATGGCTAAACACCATACCAGTTACTCATTTGAGGCCGAGTCGACCTAAGGGAGGCCCAGGACAAGTTCAGATATTCGCCATTGAATAGGAATCGAACACTGGTCCGCTGGATCCGTAGAGCAGAGCACTAACCACTGCGGCCACTGCTCCCCACATACAATGAAGACAAAGATCCCCCGTATAGCCTTAAGAAACTTTTAGGGAAAGTGCTGTTAGCGAGCACCTATGAAGGCCGGCACAGCACACGATGGGGTAGGTGGCCAGCACCGCATCCGGCCGCCTTTGTCTCCCTATTGGCAATGTTTTCACATCGCACAAGGTACTCATTTGAGGCTGAGTCAGCCTAGGGGAGGCCCAGGACCGGTTCAGATAACCATCACTGGTGTTGGCCGTGAGCGGGAATCAAACTCTGGTCGCCAGGTTCGTAGCGCAGCACGCTAACCGCTGCACTACCGCTTCCTACATACCAATACCCGTCATACGCCTCTAAGTGACGGTGACGTCACCACGACGCCTGTGCCCGGCCAGGCCCCACATACACACACATACAAAGACAAAGAACCCCCATATAGCCTAACACAGACTGTTGGGGCAAGTGCTGTTAGCGAGCACCTTCACACACACACACGTGCGCACACCAACACGTGTGTGGGGGGGGGGGTGGGTGATCTTCCGCCACCACAGGTCACGCAGAGCCAGGAGAACATCCTGGACATGCAGTGGATGCATGTGACGGAGGTGGTGCCCGAGGATCTGTACGCGCTGACGCACGGCATGGTCTACAACCTGCGCCGGCTCGTCGACGAGCGCGACAAGTTCTCGCAGGTGATGCGTTGGGGGGGGGGCGCGGAGAGGAGGGGGGGGGCTAGTGCTGGAGCACGGAGGGGGGTGAACCGGAGAGGAGCCAACTGAGATACGGAGTTCACGGGATCACTGTTCAGGTCATTTCTTTGGAGCTGCCTTTTGTGTTTAGTTTGTTGTCCTTTCCCGCACCCCGATTCGCACGGTTGGCTATGTACGGTGCAAAAGAAGTTCAACAAAGTACATATATACATGTCTTATTATTATTGTTTTGTAATTGAGGTTCTAAATTGAAAACTCATTCTTTACAACTGCGTTTTGTGTTTAGTTTGTTGCCCTTTCCCGCACCTCCAACTCACACGATTGGCTACATGCGGTGCCAAAGGCGTCTAACATACATACACACGTATATGCATGCAGGTGAAAGGTCAAGACCAATTGTAAATTCTAACGGTAGGCGTGTAATGAACTTTTAATGAAAAGCGATCGTAACAATCGCGACGTGTGCGTCAAGTTGCACGTGTTCGGATCACCAATCACGATTTGTGCGTGTTATACTCGATGCAAATATTACCTTTAAGGGAATGGAGTTGGTGCATCAGAGGAATACAAATGATCCAAAACAAAGAATAGATTCTCCAACCCAGTAATGAATCCTGAATAGTTCGATGCAAGTGGATCATTGCCTGCCTATTGAATGTCATCTACACCGCAGGCCTGCAAGTTGTGAGCGACTGACACCCCTAAAACTATTTCTAATTCACATGTTGACGGAAAGGCCCTCCCAGCTCCGATATTTCATTTCAAAACGGATATAAATTTCCACAATCGGCCGCCAGCATTGCCCACTTCTCCACGCGCCAATCCGACCGTCTTTCCGTCAACCAAATGACCGGCGCCTTTTAACGTCGGGGCTGTCTATCGATGCCTCTCCTCTCAGATGATCGTGGAGCTGGCCCAAGAGCGAGACCACCTCCAGCAGCAGCTGCAGCACGGGAAGCTGGAGACGTCGTCACCCAGCGGGCCGGAGCGGGCTCCCTCGCCGTCGGCCCACGTCCGCCTGTCGCCCATCGACAACCGGCAGCACCTCGCGGTGGAGCTCGCCGACACCAAGGCCAAGTGTCGGCGCGTCCGCCAGGAGCTGTGAGTGGAGATGGCCAGGGGCCTGGAGCGGCTCGCCCTAACGCCTATTCCTCTGTTCCATCAAATGCTTCCCCTTCTCGGTGTACAATACAGTGCAACGTCGCGTATCCGAACAGCCGCATAGCCTGATTTCTCTTTTGCTTCATTGTTGTCACTTAATTTTCATATGCTTTGCTTTTGTCATTTATGGTGACACCACAATTTATGTATGTGCGTATGTTGAACGTTTTTCACACCGTACGTAGCCAACCATGCTGATTTCTCACCTGGTTACACAAAATAAACTTGAAGCTACCCATCCTGTCCAATTAATCACGCACACCCAGTGCAGTATTTGTGCATCGTGCAACCTTCATTTGAAACGATGACAGTTACACCAGGCATTAGAATTGGTGTCTAAATTAATTAGCTGAGTGGCTATCCACAACGCCGCTCAAAGGATTTCCGAGTGGCAGTTTTGAGTATTCTCCTTGTCTGTGCGGGGTTTCTCTAAGCACTCTGGTGTCTTTCTACACACGGACATACACAATGAAAGAGCTAATGGCAGATTGTTGAATGCACATAATTTATGTTTGTGATCGGAGAAGATTGCAAGATGAGTAAAGGAGCCAACGGTTGCTTTTAACTCTCAGATCAAAGTTTGGGAAATTACTGCCCTCAATTACTAAGCCCTACACTATGGGGACCTCATTTGCCAGTAAAAATATGATATATTTTTACTGGCAAATGAGGTCCCCATAGTGTAGATGCTTGCCCCGAGCTCTCATACTCTGATGGTGCATTGTCCTTGAGTTGTGCGCCTTTTGGCGTCATCTGGTCCAACCCATATGAGACTAGGCTCGAAGGAAAGCTGTCTCGGGTGTGGACCAATCAACTTCAAGGACAGTGCACATTATCAGAGTTATGTTCTTTTGTTTGTATTATGACTGCAGGTATTGCGGTCTATGCAAACATGACTCCTTGCAAAAAGGTGTCAGTTTTGTTGCCAGAAAGAAGGGTAAAGAACCAATTATCTTACTAAGCCCTATTATGAAAGCTCAGGCTGCATACGCTTTGTAATGAGGGTATATTTAGCATCTAGAGGCACGAGTGTCTCGCAATGCTTGGGTCGAGGTGAGATTGCGTGCCAAAATAAGTGTCGCTTATTTAATCCGCACGGATTTGCCATCATTGATGGGTTAAGTGTTCTCATTTCCGCCCGCAATTACAGATTTTGTAATTCAGTTTTTTTTCAGTTATTTGTAACGATCTGCACGTCTTTTTTAAAGTTAAGTTTTTATTACCTTGCGAATTTTAACACGTCGCTGTCATTGCTTTCAGGGAGGAAAGGACAGAGCAGCTTACCGACTGCAGACACGAGCTTCAGCAAATGGACCTGGAGCTGAAGAGGTTACGGCAGGAGGTCAGTGACGTCCGGGGCAGCCTCATCTGACGCTGAGTAGCAGAGAGTTCGCAGGCAGTCGGTCAAAACCACCTTTATTTTATGGTGATATGTTCACCCCTGTAAAGCCACAGCCGACTGCGTAATTTATCTAACGTTTCTTCAGAAGAATAGGCACTCACCTTGGGTCTCCATTCCTAATACAGACTCGCTGTCCCATCGGATTAGTAAATGGTAGTGAAGCAAGGAGGTTGCTGACATATCTTTAGGGTGCCACAATGGGGAGATGTTAACTACCTCACCTGGAAAACAGGAGGTTGTGGGTTCGATCCCGACCCTGACTCTTGTATATTTGGAGTTTGCATGTTCTCCCCGTGGTCGCGTGGATTTTTATCCGGATACTCCGGTTTTTCCCTCCACATTTAGAATCGACACGCATTTGGGAGGATTTTGGCTGCTATAAATTCCACACGATAAGCCACTTCATTGAGCTATAATTTGTGAAGGCCAGCTCGCTTCTGAAAAAGAGTTATATAGATCAGTGGGTTTTGCCTGGTAAAATACAAAGTTTAGTTTAGTTGGTATGGATTTTTGGCTGTTATTCCCATGTACGTGTGGGTTTGCTCCAGGGGCGGAAAGCCTGGTCAAACATCTGAAGTGATCACAAGCGAGAGGCTTTGTGTCCCCCTGCTCAAATGGGTGTGAGGGAGTTGCTAACCTCCGTTGGCAGCCCGTGAGCCAGTGCTCACAATTCCACATGCTAATAAAGGTGACCAGCCTCTCCTCGTAGAACAAAACCAATGCTGACTTTTTGCGTCTTAAAGTCAAGGCAGGTTCCGGGTTTTTTTTGTTTACGATTGAACAAATGGTGGGTCCAGAAGGCTGGTGCACTGATGTGTGCTTTTATGGGAAGAGACATATCCGTGTGTGTGTGTGTGTTTATTTATTGATATGAGCATTGATGGTTACATTTTACCTTGCCAAGGTGTGGGGCTTGGACCCTATAATGAATCCCGTGGCATCCTTTGGGGGGCCGTGGCCCAATCGCTGATTTAATTCGAAGGCATTCCAGGTGGGGTTGCCACCTGAGGTACATTGAACTGGGTCATATCAAGCAATACCAGCATATAAATGCGTTGTCTTGAGCAGTGTAATATTGTTGTTATTATTATTGAGCAAGTGACGAAAACCTTGGCTTTTAATATCCTGGGAAGGCTCTGGAGATTTCCCAGTACCGCTGCTGTCGCCTCACCGAGAGAAAAAATCCTCGGGGTAAACCAGGTCAAGGCGGCAACCCTCATCGCAGGGCACGCGCGCGCAAATTCATTCAGACGCTGTCTCCCCGACAGACCTGGTCTTCACTTGAGGATGGCTGCTTGCGTTGTGGCCGAAACGTCATGAGAATTATTTTGTTATGTTTTATTTTTATTATTTTATTACTTCCCTTCTACGTGACTTTACCGAAAGAACCAAGAAGATGAATCCCTGCAGTCACGAAAGCTTTAAATCGAAATTGAACCGCCTCTGCTCGTGTTTGCGCAGAACCTGCTGCTGGTGCCGGAGGCGCGGGCGGCGCGGACGTACCGCGACGAGCTGGACGCCATGCGGGAGCGTGCGGGCCGCGTGGAGCGGCTCGAGAGCGAGGTGGGGCGCTACAAGGAGCGCCTCCACGACGTCGACTTCTACCGCGCGCGCGCCGAGGTGAGGCCTACCGGCGGCGGCAGGAGCGGCGGGAGGGCGGCCCGCGCTCGGAAAGGGGGGGGATTGTCCGGAGGGTGGAGAGGGCTTGCGCCAGACAGTTACCTCGACCAGACAGCCAGACACGAGGCCCAACGCGTGGCTCTCACCTTTAACAGACTGGACAAGTAAATCCTAGGCCTACCCATAACCCTAACCGTTCGAGATGAACCTGATCCTTGCCCTACCCATAGGCAGAAAATCACAAACTAATTGGACACTAAATTATCCATAAACATAACCACACTGGCTAATCAGACCCTAGCTTTTCGTGTAACCGTAACGACAACTAGCCAACCAGACACGAACCCTACCTGTGACCCTTACCTATAACCACGCTAGATGAGCATGTCCTTGCCCTACCCCGAACTCTACCGCATTAGCCAACCAGGCCGCAGTTCTAAACCAAAACTTAATCACACAGGCTAAGCAGATGCTTGATCTGCCCTTAACTATAGCGTCATAAACCAACCAGGCCCAAGCTCAAAACCAATACCACACTGGCCAAACAGACCCTCACATTAATTATCCTACTCCTGCCCTGTAAGCTTGTAAAATAGAATTTCTTAGTTCAACGTTGGCCTCTTTACACACCCCCATATTCCATTATCTACTATTTGTGGAAGTGTTATCCTTAGGCTAATGGATAATGGAAAGTACTAAGCAGAACAAACAAGACAGACCCACGACAGGCAGTGCAGAGCACACAAAAGGTAATTTGCTCCAATAGTTTCGTAGCCTCCCCCCCCCCCCCCCCCCCACTTGGTGCCAGCCAATCGGATTGCAGCGGGGAACACAGCTGGGAATAACAAATAAAGCAATTTGGCAGCAGCTCTTGGACATAAATTAAACAACATTCAGAAAATATATAGAGGTGAACGTTAAGAGGTGCTGCTCCGCAAATTATTGGCTCCCACCGCTGCTGGTGGAAGGTCCCTCCACTAGAGAGAGCTCTAGAGCAGAAATGTCCTATGCTGGCAGAGGTCGCAACCGGGTACCCGATACCCGTACCCTACCCGATACCCGGCTACCCGTACCCAGCCGGGTACGGGTACCCGTTTGCGACCCTGGTGCGGCCGGGTACGGGTACGGGTAGGCCGTGAGTCACCGGTGAGTAACCGTTTGTCACTCATTTCGGGTAGGGTACGCGTACGGGTACCCGTACCCGGTAGGGTACGCGTACGGGTACCCGTACCCGGCCGGGTACGGGTACGTGACACCTAACCCTAACTCTAAACTCCCCCCCCCCATGCCGCTCACAACCGCGCTCGCGAACAGGAGCTGCGCGAAGACAACGGGGTGCTGCTGGAGACGAAGGCGATGCTCGAGGACCAGCTGGAGGTGGCGCACTCGCGCTGCGACAAGCTGCACGAGCTGGAGAAGGAGAACTTGCAGCTGCACTCCAAGATTCACGACCTGGAGATGGTAAGGGCTGTCGATGCGACTAGACCACGTGCGCTCGAAGATTCGCGGGAATGTTTTTTTTTGGGGGGGGGCGGCACAGGATGTGCGCAAAATAACGAGCGGGCCGCCGTTGTCGCCATGGTGGGGTGAGGAACGGGACGCGGACAGGACGAGGCTGGAGGAGCTGGTGGAGGAGAACCTGACGCTGGAGATGGCGCAGAAGCAGAGCATGAACGAGTCGGCGCACCTCGGCTGGGAGCTCGAGCAGCTGAGCAAGACGGCTGACCTCGGCGACAGTGAGTGTCGCGATCGCGCGACGGCGAGCGACTGGACGAGAAGCGCGCCGTATGTCCTGCGGTTCAAACGGCAGCCAGTTGCGTCGCTGTTCGTGGCACAACGTTTGATTCCCAGCCACGGTCAACATCGGTGACGAACAACTGTAACCGGTCCTGGGCTGCCCCAAGGGCGACTCGGTTCAGATGAGTAACTGGTTGCGGTGGTGTGTAAAACATCAGCACTTGGGAGACAAAGGCGGCCCGGCAGTGGTGTAACCGTTAATAGGTGTTACTCGCTCACAGCACTTGCCCCAAAGATGTGTTAAGGCTATACGGGGGGATCTTTGTCATTGTATTTGGCTGTGTGTGTGTACGTTTGCACCGCTCGCCCCCACTCCCCATCTCGTGCCCTCCGCCGCCCCCAGACGGACGGCGGCAGTCGGTGAGCACGGAGGTGAGCGAGGCGACGTCGAGCCGCGTGCTGCGCTTGGAGAAGGAGAACCGCAGCCTCATGCAGACCGTGCAGGAGCTGCGCGAGGCTGCGATGGCAGCGGCGGCGGCAGCGGCAGCCACAGTAACAAACGCAACCACCGCAACCGCTAGCAAAAGCAGCAGCAAGAACACCGCCGCTTCTGGCGCGGCCAGGATCCCCCCACGGCTGCCGCCCAAGCCAGTCGAGGTGGTGCGGTTGCGCGAGCTGGAGGTGAACAATCGGCAGCTGAACGACAAGGTGGGCGCGGTGCACAGATGCGTGCACGCACGTGCGGAGACGCATGTACACACGCGGGTCGGGCGACGGAGAGATGCTGTCGTCACCGTTGAGGGTGTGTGTTACCAATCAGCGGCAGGCTCTACGAGAGACCAAAGGACGTTGAATATAAAACCTCAAATTAATACAATCGATTAATTCATTGTATTAATACATTCACCATCTAATGATATCAAAACGGAGTTTTTATTTTATAATTATAACCTGATTCGAATCCTAACAAAACGGCCCAAACGTATCTTTTTACCGAGTTCCTCCCCCCCCCCGCCCTCCACCGTTGGCGGCGGCGATAGCGGCACAGTTTTCACAAAAAGTCTTCATGGGAAAAATCAAATTTGTCCAAGTGGTATCTGGGCCCTAAACGTCGTGCGTGCGTGCGTGCGGCGCCAGGTGGAGCAGCTGCAGGCGGAACTCCAGAGCGAGCGAAGAAGCCTCAAGGATATGGAGAGTCTTAGCAACGAGCTCCTGCGCGACAAGGAGCACCTGGAGGGGAGCATGCGGACCGTGCACGACAACTGCAGGAAGCAGGTGTGCGGTGGCTACGCGGACCACAGATCCAGAATGCGCCGAGCTGCGAGTTGGCCTGGAGATTGCAGTGCACCAATTGCTTTTCATGAACCCATCTTTTCGGAGCTTTGGATTGTTATTTTTCCCGTGGGGTGTCTCAAGTTTTTATTCGTGGATCATTCAAGTTTCTAATCTCGCGCACGAAAAAAAACTACTTTAAAATAAAATTGGCCTAACAATCCCCACGCTGCACTCTCCTGAAAACACACAACGATACTCGGTAAGACTTTCCTGGATAAATCACCGACCTTCATGTAACATCCTCTGACCGAATTCCGCAGAACGTGCCCGATCTCATCAAGTCTCGGAGCTAAGCAGAGTTGAGCCTCGGATAGTGCTTGGAGGGGCGGCCGCCTTGCATAAAGCCGGCGTTCTCGGCCATCTTGCGTCGGCAGCAGAGTGGATTGGATTGACAAAATAGCCATTTAAACGATAAAGAAAAAGACATACAACACACATTAAAAGAGTAGAAACTGAAAATCCCATCGGCAGTCTTTTCCGCCGCCACTAGGCTGCTCGGCTCGACCGCACCTCCTTTAACAGGGCCCGTGACCGCGTGCAGATGAAGGCGCTGGAGCAAGAGAAAGAGAAGCTGATGCGGCTGGTAGAGAAAGACGCCGACGACGCTGGCAGCCCCGTGGCAGTAACGCCGGCGGAGCCGGGGGGGGCACGGCTGGCGCGGCTCGAGGCGGAGCGGCGCGAGCAGGCGGAGCGGGCAGACGGCGCCGAGCGGGAGGTGCGGCGGCTGCAGCGCGAGCACAGCCAGCTGCAGCGTCGCGGCGCCGGCAGTGCGGAGAGGCTCGCCGCGCTCCAGCAGGCGCACTCCGCCCTCGAGGAGGACAGCCGCAAGCTCCGGAAGACGCTCGAGGTCGGGGAAAGCGCCGGTCGCGCGCATGGGCATGCGTACTCGACACGCCGGCCGATTCTTGCAATTAAATCGCGCTCACGAGCACTTGCGGGTGGGGCGTCGGTGCCGTGGTTCGCAGCTCTTGCTCGGAACCTTACGAACCCTAAAGCCTCGTGTGCGTAGGAGGCACTTGAAGGGATCTCGAAAGTAGTTCTGTGATATCACCTTCGATGGCACAGGGTGCTGTTACACTGCTTTACGTTCAGTTCTATCAATTACAGCGAGGTGGGAGCTGGACGTCCCGCCCTAGATAAGTGTTCCAAACTTGGCCGCGTGTGTGCTCTACACAGCAGTTGTAATTGCAGGCCAGCACGCAGGCCCTGGTGACTGAGAGGTATATCGGAAGGGGGGCGATCGATGCCACCGGTAGAGGATTATCTCGGTTGGAAAGCGCTAACGACGCGCGCTCGCTCGTGCTGGCACGCGCTCCCATGTAGGGGCTGCAGGGCGTGCGCTCGCAGCTCGAGGGCCTGGAGAAGGACAACGCGCAGCTGGACGAGGAGAACGCCGCCCTACGCCACACCGTCGAGTCGCTGAAGTCGGCCGAGGCGCGGCTTGTGCAGGCCGAGCGTGACAACCGCGACCTGGAGCAGGAGAAGGAGACGCTGCGGCGCTCGCTCGAGGGCCTGCGCACTGCCGGGCGCAAGGCCGAGCGGCTCGAGGCCAGCGTGCAGGCCCTCGAGACGGAGAGCCAGCGCACCCAGCGGGCGCTGGAGGCCGCCAGCAAGAAGGCCGCGCAGACAGAGTGCGAGCTGCAGGTGCGTGCGTGCGGGCGATCGCGGGAGAAGGATCGGAGAGTGCTTGCCATTATCGCCACATGGATCACTGGAATAGTTGGTGGGGGGAAGGGGGGTAAGCTCGTGACTGGGGAGAATCGGTGAGAGCTGCATTGTTTATGAACCCGTGAAGCCTTTCCAGTATAGTGAGGTCGAAACTGGGTGCTGTAAACGGAGATAAAGGTGGCTGGGCATGGAGAGCGGTAGTGTGGCAGTTATCGCGCTATGTACCCAGCGACCCGAGTTTGATTCCCGATCAGGACTAACATTGATAACGAATATCCGAACCTGTGCCCGAGCCTGCCCTCGGTTGATTTATCCTTCACGGAGTACCTGGTGGGAAAGCTGGACTGGCCACACCGGCCCGTCATGCATCTGCACTGGCCTGCCTAGGCCCGCAGAGTAAAAACAACGATGTTTAACTCAACCTGATTAGCTATGTAGCCGTTCCGTGACGGGTCAGGTGACATTGCCGTGGCTGTGCCGGCACAGGAGATGGAGCTGGAGAACCAGTCGCTGCAGCGCAGCGTGGAGGAGCTGCGCATGTCGGCGCGCCGGCTGGAGGTGGCGGAGCAGGCGGCTCGCTCGCTGGAGGCCGAAGTGGCACAGATCGAGAAGGAGCGCAAGCAGCTGAAGAAGGAGGTGTGGCGGCTGCGCCAGCAGGCGGAGGTGCGCGAGGCCGTGGCGGAGGAGGCGGCGGCACGCATCGCGGAGCTGGAGGTCAACGGGCGCTCGCTGTCGCGCGAAGTGGCGCGTCTCTCGGAGTCCTGCGCCCGCCTGCGTGACGCCGAGCGAGACAGCAAGGAGCTTCTCAAGGAGGTCACCATCGGCAAGAAGACGCTGGCGACGCTCCGAGAGGTCGGGCCGATGCGCCGGCGGCATCCTGCGTGTTTTGGCTTCGTCGCGTTTGAATTTATGTTGCGGGGAGGGCGTTAAAAAGCTTGTTTTGGCTTCAGTTGGGCAACCAGGAGTCGTGGCATGAGATGAAGAATCCATACCGAACTCTCTTAGAAGGCGATATTGCAGAACTATTTCTGAGATTACTTCAAATGATATTTAGTTTGCTTATCTAATTTGTGATATTCTCCATAATCATGCTAACTGTTACGTTGTGTTATATATTTTTTATACTTGGGGATGATGCATTTTTCCTCTTTGGCCTACGATAGGGATGTTCACATAGCAGTCAAACTAATTTTTAAAAATATTCCTAGACCTGGAGGGTTTATCACATCGATACATCTCAGAGCCAGATTTTTGGCACGTAGTGATTTTTTTTGCGTGCAGTCATTCATCGGATGGGCTGAGGACTGAGACCATCGGCCCAATTCACCGGTATAATCACGGTGGTGGCTTAATACGGGATTCACACCCAGGATTTTGATAAATCGATTGGTTGCAGCCCATGTTTGAAATACACCGAGCATCCTGGAGTTCTTGTACGAGTTCCGGGTTGGTGCGTGCGGCGCGCAGGACCTGGTGACCGAGAAGCTGCAGGGCCAGCAGCTGAGCAATGAGCTGGACAAGCTGAGCAACGAGCTGGAGAAGATAGGCCTCAACAAGGAGCGGCTGCTACAGGACGCGCACAGCAACGACGATACGTAAGGCACACGCGCCACCGCTCCCCCACTGGTTCCTGTGCGTACCTCCACCATCAACAGCAGCACCTACGCCAGCGCTGCTGCCCACCTATGTACGCTCGCACACCACCATATGCGCCAGCACAAGCTTACATGCACCATCCACTACAATGCCTACGCAACAACAACCGCCATTCGCCACTAAGTGGCGGTGACGTCACCACGATGCTTGTGCCAGGCCATGTGCACCTTGCGGCCACGTGAAGTGTCGAACGCCCGCTGGCAGGAGGTCACGGGGCAGACCCAGGTGCCACGGGTCGCCTACTCAAACACCGCTCACGCCAGCACTGACAATACAGCACCACCACCTACAACACCTATACCACCACAAGCATCGTGGTGGCGCCGTGGTGGAGAAATGTTAACTACCTCGCCTGGTATGCAGAAGGTCGTGGGTTCGATCCTGACCCTAATGCCTGCTGTATATTTGGAGTTTGCATGTTCTTCCCGTGATCATGTGGATTTTTCTCCGGTTTTCCCTCCACATTCAGAAACACACATTTATAGTATTTGTCAGCTTTCCATTTCTACACGATAAGCCACTTCGTTGCGCTATCATTTGTTGCCAGGTTGCTTCTGCAAAAGCTTTCTAGCTCAGTGGGCCTTAGCTGGTAAAATATAAATAGTTTTAATTTGTTAGTTTTAACAACCTCCCCTCCTAGGACCATCTACAACCAAAATTGTCTCCTACATACACCACCTTGAACAGCATGAACTCCATCACCCACATTGAGAAAGGGAGTGATCACCCTTGTTGAACAAATAAATTTGACTTGAGCTCCATCGTATCAGCACCACCACCAGCAACACAACCTTCACTATCAACGGCACCGCCACCACCACGACCATCACCACTTCCGCCACCTGCAACCAAATCAGCCCGATTACGACCGATCTCTTTGCATCTCGGAAGTTCAAAGCAGGTCGACGCATGGTTCGTACCTCAATGAGAGACTCGGGCAGTAGGATTGGCTTGCACGGGTTTGTCGGGAGACGTCGGCGCACCGATGGAAAGTCAAATGCGTTCGTGCAGAGCTCCGAGCGTTTGTTTGTTTGTCGCCGTCACGGTGTGAGCTCTTAACGGTCCCCTCCCGTGGTCGCGGCGGTCGCGGCGACCGCTGAGCAGGAAGTACAAGATCCTGGAGTCGAGGATCGAGTCGACGCTCAAGAAGACGCTGGAGCTGCGGGAGGAGAAGATCTCGGCTCTGGAGTCGCGCCTCGAGGAGTCCTCCAACCTCAACCAGCAGCTGCGGCAGGAGCTCAAAACGGTTTGTGGAGCACGGCGCCTTGTCCTTCGATCCGCCCCCCACCCCCCCCCCCTAACTTTTTGGGTCATTTTGAATAAAAAAGAAAGTTATTACGAGTAACGAAAACCAGTGGCAGAGATATTTGCTTGTGGTGAACCGTTGCTGCTGAATGAATGCGCTACCCCCAGTAGGCTCTATGGCTGATGGTTCGTGTAAAAAATATGTTTTGTGTTTTTGGTTTTATGTGGAGGTACAGATATGGCAGGGAGGTGTATTGTTTTCTTATTTATCTTGTTTATTACATTCCCCACGGCGACATTTCTCTTCAGGTTGTACAACGGTCATTTAAGGGCAAGTGAGGATTTTTACTCACGTATTTGAAGTTGAGATTAAAACCCGAAAGGTAGGGGGAGTGGACTTTATGACTCCTCCGACCCAGAACCCGGCGGCCAGTTCAGCGGGGCCCTCCGCTTGCCTTCGGGATTAGGTGACGTCACCACCGTCCGGGCGTGAGAGACACCGTCGGCAGGCAGGCAGGCGCACGCGCGAGCTTACAGAGAGGAGGAGCGGATGCGAGTTGCGTTGACGGGCCCGCGTTGTGGCTCCCAACCAGGTGAAGAAGAACTACGAGGCTCTGAAGCAGCGGGAGGAGGAGGAGCGGAAAAGCGGCGGCGGCGGCGTCAGTCCCCTGCCGGGCCGGCGCGCCGACGCGCTCGCCGTGAGCCAGACGCAGAGCGAGTCGCGCGAAGCCACACGGGAACTGCTGCGCGTCAAGGACCGGCTCATCGAGATCGAGAGGAACGTACGTCCGTGCTCTCTCTCTCTCTCTCTCGCTCGCGCATGTGAGCACGGCCGCTGCTAAAGATGTCGCGCGGAGCGAGGTGTTCCGCCGAAGGGTGCTTTGGTAGTGAGGCCTACGAATGACGTGTTCTGGGATGGAAGCGTGACCCCCTGACCGTGACGGCGCGTCGAGAGTCGCTGGGGTTGGCGAATCGTCGCATGCCGTGATTACTCCCTCTCCTTTGGAGAAGACTGAACTTTACATAGTAATGTGGAATTTCAGCATCTGGCTCAGGTGCAGCCAACGGATTCAAGTGCTGCCCAAAGCTCGCTTGAGCTTGCAAGATCTTTAACGTGACTTTGTAGTTATAATTATTATTATAATAATCGTGATTTTTGTTGATTTGCTACACGATGAACGATGAATCCTGTGACACAAACTTTCTTAAGACTGCTGCCCCACCTCCCCCCATGCTGCTGCTTCCCCCTATGCCCCAACAGAATGCGACGCTACAGGCAGAAAAGCAGGCACTGAAGGCGCAGTACAAGCAGCTGGAGTCACAGAACAACCACCTGCAGACGCAGATCCTGGCTCTGCAGAAGCAGGCCGTGTCGCTGCAGGAGCACAACACCGCGCTGCAGACGCAGAACGCCAAGCTGCAGGCAATGCTCGCACCCCAATCACAGCCCATCGCACAACCACATCCACACAGAGAGCTACGTTTACTGTTCAGGAGAGTGCTGTTAGGGAGCACCTATAAAGGCTGTCGCGGCACACAAGGAGGTGTTGCGACCAGCCCGCCCGCCTTTGTTTCCCCAGTGCCAATGTGTGTTTAGACATGGAGGAGGCCCAGGACCTGTTGAGATGTTGCTCTGATATCACTCGTCACTAATGATAGCCATGGCCTGGAACCGAACCCAGGTCGCCAGGTTCACAGCGCAATGCGCCAATCACTGCTTTGTGCCCCAACAGCATCAGCTTCCGTGCTGCCAATTATTTTTTTCCATAGACAAGCAACACACTCCATAATGCACGCGTACGCCCGACGTTTCCCAGCTCGTGCCCTATATCTGCTGACTTCTTGCGCACCGCCCCCCCCCCCACCCCGTCGTCCTCATACCGTCCCCGTCTCCCGCCGTCGCCCTGGGCCCCCCGCGCAGGTCGAGAACTCGGCCGTGAGCTCGCAGAGCGCCTCACTCATGGCGCAGAACGCGTCGCAGCAGGGCCAGCAGGCGGCGCTGGAGGCCGAGGCGGAGGAGCTGGCGCGATCGCGCGAGGAGCTGCACGCCACCTACGAGGCGCTGAGCCGCGACCACGAGCGCCTCGTGGGCCTGCACGAGCGCCAGGCCGCCGACTACGAGGCGCTCATCGGCAAGCACGGCCACCTCAAGAGCGCGCACCGCGCCACGGAGCTGCAGCACAAGGAGCTGGAGGACAGGTACCGCTGGCGTCCGTCCCCTCGACGGCGCCGTCGGGGACGCCCCACGGCGCCTGTCATGGGCTGGCGTTGCGGGATTAAAGTCGGGGGCGTGCAAACTTTGTAGCCCACAGGGCGGGCCGGAAGCCGCCTGGCTTTGGGCGACGCTCAAGCACCGGCGGGGGGGGGTGGAGTTGGGGTCACACGAACGCGGGGCCATCGACAAGGCGGGCTGTCCCACCAAGCGACGTCACTCTGGCTTACGCAACGTCTAGGCTTCCATTTGACCATTTTTGGTCCAAGGAGAGCCGGGAGATATTCTCACAGTGGCCCGAGCTCAAAAAGGTTGCACGTGCCCCAGATTTTTAATCTTAAAGTACGACGCGGCAGCGACTGCTTGTCCTTCAAGTCTAACTGAACACCGGTCAATCGATCTTGAATAAAAATGTGTTTGGTAAGACGTGAGTTTGACGAACACGCTGCTTGTGCTGACCTTTAAATCGGTCGGACGGGAGGAATGGTGGTGAGGGATGGAGGTGAGGGATGGGGGTGAGGGATGGGGGTGAGGGATGGGGGTGAGGGATGGGGGTGAGGGATGGGGGTGAGGGATGGGGGTGAGGGATGGGGGTGAGGGATGGGGGTGAGGGATGGGGGTGAGGATTGGGGGTGAGGATTGGGGGTGAGGGATGGGGGTGAGGGATGGGGTGAGGGATGGGGGTGAGGGATGGGGTGAGGGATGGGGGTGAGGGATGGGGGTGAGGGATGGGGGTGAGGGATGGGGGTGAGGGATGGGGGTGAGGGATGGGGGTGAGGGATGGGGGTGAGGGATGGGGGTGAGGGATGGGGGTGAGGGATGGGGGTGAGGGATGGGGGTGAGGGATGGGGGTGAGGGATGGGGGTGAGGGATGGGGGTGAGGGATGGGGGTGAGGGATGGGGGTGAGGGATGGGGGTGAGGGATGGGGGTGAGGGATGGGGGTGAGGGATGGGGGTGAGGGATGGGGGTGAGGGATGGGGGTGAGGGAGGAGAGCCGAGGAGGGAGCTGAGCATAGGTTTAGTGAGCCATTCGTTCTTCATGTGCACGGTGCCGCAGGTACAACACGCTGCTGAAGCAGAAGGTGCAGCTGCAGGAGCTGGAGGGCGTGCTGCGTGCCGAGCAGGACAAGCTGGCGCAGGATGCCAGCAAGTACGAGTCCATCGCCAGCGACTACCACCGCCTGCGTGACGAGAACGACAGGTGCAGGCAGCTCGAGCCGCGACACATCTGCGTGCGCCAGTGTGTGTGTGCACGCGGTAGTGCTTGCCGAGCAGAGGGGCGGCGACGTAACACTGCGTGTCGTATTGGCGCAGCGGGGAGTTCTGGTGGTACGCGCCTGCCAGTCGTCTCGGTCGGCGAACTCGCGGCGTTGTCAGTTAGCCGACCGAGACGACTGGCAGCGAGCCCTTCCCCACTTCTCGCGGTCTCAAAGCGCGCCCAGCCCCGGCACGGGCGCCCTCGCTGACTCTGCGTCCGCCCACCCCGCAGGCTGAACCTGACCTACAGCCACCTCATGAAGGAGCACGAGGGGCTCCAGGTAGATCACAAAGCGACCAAGAGCCAACTCAACGGGAGCCGCCTGGAGCAGGCACGCCTCGAGGCCGAGTACTCGGAGCTTCGCGAACACTGCCAGCAGCTGGACGTCACCTCGGCTAAGCTGAGCAACCAGTGCGAGGTGCGCCCCCCCCCCCCGCACCCCCCCCCCCCCCTCCACTCCACAAAGACAAGACCCCCCCCCCCCCCCCCTTTATATAGCCTTTAGAAACGTATTGCTACAGGATACTGCTGCATCTAAGCTGGACCCCGAAGAGTGACCAACGTAGACGTAAGAAAAAGGTGGCACACTTTTTGAACACGCGTGTAGGATGGACAACAACAGGACCTAAAGGAGAATGGCTTGGGGACGACGTAAGAGATTTGTGCTAGAAAGATGTTACACTACTCGAGCATATTGGCGCAAGACGAAGGAAAGTGGAAACAAATGACGAAATGTGCAGTAGACACCTGCGGGCTTGTCTACCCATGGATCGTGATGACAATGATTTTGATAGCCGTTGGGGCAAGTGCTGTTGGCCAGCACATACGAAAGGCCCATTGTGGACAGAACTACGCCTGGCCTCCTTTGTCTCCCCACCGGTGGTGACGTTTACACACTGCACGGGGTACTAATTTCAGGCTGAGCCAACCTAGGGGAAGCCCAGGATCGGTTCATATATTCGTCACCGATGTAGGCCGCGAATGTGGGATTCGAACTCGAGTTTTTACGGGTTCGGAGCGAAAGTAAGAAGAGACGGCTGTCATTGTCATTCTCCTCTCACCATCCTGTACTCGGATGCCACCTCAGAGCACCGATGGGGTCTGTGTTCCCACTGCATGTGATTGTGCCCGTGCACGGTTATCAAACCAAGCCGTGTGCTTTCAATCAGGCCGATCCAGCAGGCCAGTCGTGGAAACCGGCCGTGACGTCACACGCCAAGTTCACAATCCCAGCCATGGATTATTTGTTTTTTTATCAAATGCGAGCCCGTTACAGCCCGTTGCGCAGCTCTCAAATCCTAAAAATTATCCCGACGCAACTGAGCCGCATGTAGCGGTTGGGGAGGGGGTAAAAAGAGGGGGGGCGGACCCGCTGCTCCAACTAAGTGAGGACATCACGTTGTGGGAGAAATGAAAGCCGTGGGTATTGTTAAAAACGGAAGAGCATTTTTTTGATGTGAACTTTTAGCCATGCCTTACTTTGCTGGTTCCGTGCTGATATGTGAATTGGAGGGGGGGAGCCTAGGACCGGCTTGGATAAATTCTCGCCACTGATGTAAGCCATGGCCAGGAATCAAACTTGGGTTGCCAGGTTCACCATACGATGCAATAACAATTGCAGCACCGTTCCACCCATGGAAAATGAAATACGATCCAAAATCACACAAAATGTCATAGGCTTTCGTTTAAAATGAGATTTCATAAATCTTGTCACGAGCATAAACAAACCAATTGTGTAACGATGACTTGATGCGTCATCACATGCTCTCTTCTGCCAAGGCCAAAGGAGGAGGTCACCGTCTCTGTGTTTGCATGTGCAGCTTTTATCGCAGCTCAAGGGCAACCTGGAGGAGGAGAACCGGCACCTCCTGGACCAGATCCATCGACTCATGGAGAGCAAGGAGCAGTACCACTCTGAGCAGATGCAGTACATGTACGTTACCAAAACACTGGCCCTGCGCGTTTTGCAGGGGTTCCCCTTGGCTTAGCCCGTTGACATTAAGGTACGGGGGTGGCTCAACCTGCCGAAGCTGGTACCGCTGAAATCCTGGGTTCTAATCCAAGCAGCCATCTGCAGTTTAATGGAGTTCTCAAGCGTAGTGAATTCATTGTCTCAGCCCGGTCACCAGTGATCGCACGAAAGAAACCCATCGGATTAAATTTGGCTCCGCACTTAATTGGACTATGCTTCAGCTTTGAGAATTCATATATTAGTTTGACTGTTGGACTACGATCATTACCCTCGGTGGCAGAGTGAGTGACAAAGTGCTGCCCCCTCTACTGCTGCATTGAATAGAGGTCACTTGAAGGGATCTCAGAAGTAGCTCTGTGGTATCTGCTTCCGTTAGCCGTTTCCAACCACAAATGGGGCTGTGCTCGAGATCTAAATAGATTCTCCGTCTCACGACAACATTGTGACTTTTGACCTCTCGTAGTCATTGGACGGTAATGTCTGCACAGGGCACATCGAGCAGGGAGGGGAGTGGACGGTACACGGTATACGGGATCACGTGCCACTTGTGCCGCAGAGACAAACTGAACGAGCTGCGGAGGCAGAAGGAGAGGCTGGAAGAGAAGATCATGGACCAGTACCGCTTCTACAGCCTCTCGCCGCCACGACGGTACGGCAGGGCTCAGCGCGGCCGCTACAGATGCCCTAGCGCACACTCACCACACGGTCAGTGCCACACCCAAACTATATGGGACAGCCAGATGTAACCCAGCGGTATCGAGGCACCGCCAGTTGAAACCTAGTAGCATCTAATCCTGTACGGCTGACTGCTGGTGAGCGCCGGAAGAGTGAAACCAGTCCAGAGTTTCCATTGTTGAAGCAAATACGACGTGGTGAGTAGCAGAAGGCAGTGTGGCAAAATAAAATTGTTGTTCCTATGCTCATGTCGATGCTGTCGGGTCTCATCGAATAGTCCTCATCGTGAATCGGAATCAATTCTCGCGCACGCGGTTTGTTGGTGCCACGTAACGTGCATCGCGAGCGCAGGAATCGATTTGAATCGATTTGAATCTATTTAACCGTTACATCTTTAACTTCTTGAGACCCTGCCTCGCAGTGAGCCTCGCGCCTGGCTCAAAAACCGTCCCTAGGCCACGTCGTCATCAATCCCCGCTATCTCTCTGCTAGGAAAAGCAACTGGATCGCGGCGAAGATGAAGAAGCTGATCCGGCCGAAGAAGGAGGGCGGTGGCGGCGTCGCCGGCACCGGCGCCGGCAGCAGCACGACCGTCGGTCGGGAGCAGCTGCGCTGCAGTGTGGAGGGGGCGCTGGGCGACGGCCTCCCCGGGGACAGCCAGGACAGCTCGTCCGTCGGCTCCAACTCGCTGGACGAGATCGGAGCTCACGGCGCCCACGCCGTCACCGTCACCCGCAAGAGCAGCAGTGAGTGGCTCCGCCGGGCGGGCGAGGCGGGCGAGGTGGCAGGGCGGGTGGACAAGAGGGCAAGCGGGGCACCGCGTAGCAATATCAGAGTTTCGAGCTGTTGTGAGACTTTTTTTACCCCATAGGATTTGGACCCGGGATCAATATACTATATTTATTTGAACCCTGGTGTACAATTCCTATTCAAGCAATGCGACTCCCCTCCACCCTGCCCGCGGTCAGAATTAGGGTTATCATTCGGATTAAAGAGGTTAGCCTTCCTACCATGGGACTGCGTTAAAATAATAGAAAATATTATGACCCCAGCATTAGAATACTATCTCACACCGTCTCCGGGTATTGACGCCGAGCTAATGTTCTCAACCCTTGCTTGTGCCGTATGGATGTTCCGGCACACGGGCACGTGAGTCACCGTCCGGCAAACCGCCTCGGCCGCGCCCATCGCCAGGGAAGGCAACGGTTCACCAGCTGCGCCGTTAAGATCGACTCGTAGCTTCGCATGATGTTCGGTGCCTGACGGTGCGTCGATTCGTCAATCAAAATCGATTCTTGCACTTGCAAAACATCCGTGCGCTGACGGTATTCCAATGTTTGCAAAATATATATCGCTCGTGCCATGCCTATAAAATGCATCCATCAAGTCATGCATACAGGAAACGATTATTTTCAGTCGATATATTTATACCACTACATACGAATATGTACGTATGTATGTTGAACTTTTTTCGCACTCTACGTAGCCAACCGTGCTCATAGGAGGTGCGAAATATAAATTCTATACATGCCAACGTAAATATTCTGCGTGCACCACAAGACCGAAGAGCATACATTTGCCAATCTGATCGCGACGATCTGTGGGATCGTGGAAGGTGGTGGAGGGAATCGCTCCGTCGCCTTGTTTGCAGGTCACCATCTCCCTGTCGTTTTTAAACATCGAAGGATTTCTGAGCTCTCTCTGTCTCCCTCTCTCGCGGCTTCGCTCTCTCGCCGGGCTGGAGGCCACACCGCGCTGGGTCGGCACGACACCCCTCGGCTAAACTCCGCGCCGCACCCCCCCCACCCCACTGTGGTGCTCTCGCTGTCGGTACCCCCCCACACCCCCTCGCCACCTTCTCCAAAGTTTGACCTCTCTCTCCACCTCTCTGCCTTCCTGCCTACCTTCCCCACCACCTCGCGGCTCCACCGCCTCCCGCCCACTTCTCCCCTCCCCCCGCACCCCCCCTCCCGTGGTCCACGTTGCGTCCCCCGTGCGCAGCGAGCACGCTCAAACGGCTGCTGCGGAGCAGAGCCAAGGACAGGGACGAGCGGAAGGCGTTGCACCGGCGATCCATGTGTAAGGCGCTCCACCACCCCCCCTCCACCCCCCCCCGCCCTCCCACCTGCTGCGTCGGGCTACCTCCCCCAGCATGACCCTGCAAGCAGCTTCCATACTAACAGCCCGAGCCCTTGCCGCCCGTCATCTCGCCCCGTGCGTCTCGCCCGCGACTGCGACCAACTCGAACCCCCCCCCCCCCACCCCGCGCTGCTCGGCGCACTGTGGTGGACTCTGTGTACGTGAAGCGGGCTACGCGCTGCGCTTGCGAAACCTCTTCGTGCGTTTGTTTTGACGGATGTGTGGGAGCCCGTGGTTTTATTGTCGTCGTTGTCTGCCTTGCGATTAACATTTTAATTTTTTTTAACGCCGCGTGACCGTCGTACTTTGTTGGCTTGCATCCCCTTTCCGTTGCAGCTTTTTCTTTTTTGGGTTTTGTCGGCGAGGTGAAGTAGATGGCTGACCCTAACGCTCTAGTTCCCTCCTCCCAGACGATAAAATACCCAGTGGAAAAATTGGCCAAACGTACCTCAGCAAGACCCTCCTCAAAAAAGGAGTCCCTGAGACTCGGCAAAGCTTTTCCCGGGTAAATAACGGGGGACTCCCTTGTTTTTTTACCCTTTTATCTGGCAACAAGATAGATAACGGGGGACTCTTCATACCACTCCTCCGTTGTGTTCCCGGCTTGTACCGCGTAATTGAATAGCACGATGTCCGACGATTCTTCAGGCCCTGATGCGCTCCGGGTTTAGCAGTGGAGGGTTTAGCTCTTAAACGTCAGACGCCGTGCCGAATAACACGGGCGTGCAAACCGAAAACCACGGTGGAGAAGCCGAGCAGCTCAACCGCGCAAAACACCACCCAGCAAATAAGACTCTTTAACGTCCTTATTAGCGTTCCGGATGCCTTCCTTTCCAGAGACCCGGGTACGGCCGCGGCGTCTTCGCGTCTAACAACACCGACGTGTCGCCCCGACAGCTGCACGCCGAACGCCCTTTAACCCCCCCCCCCCCCCCCCCACCACGACCCAGCATGATTATGGCGGCGATGCCGTGCGACCCCGGCGCATGCTTTGGCATGAGACTGCATGCACACGATGGGAGAAGGAGGAGGATGGAGAGGAGGGAGGGAGGAGCGAATGATGTAGGCGCACGCCCCCCCTCCCCCGGGGGCTCGGGTTGCCTGCTGCGCTTCGATTAATCAGCCGTCACGTTGTCGCAGTAACCCGCGCCGCGCACACCGCCGCTTTTGTCTCCGTGGTGATCATGTTTTTGTTACATGAACGGGGGTGTCGTAGGGGGGCCCCTAACTAACAGGGGTGGGGGGCAGGGAGAAGGGGGGGCGGGGGGGGACACCAGCCGATCCAATTCTGAGTGATGCCCGAGGGGGATTTGTAAATTACAGGCACAGCTCATATACCGTTTTCAATTAACAAATCGCTGATGTGGCGAAAAGTCATAACACCGCATTCATATTCCTGTCGTTTGAATGACTGGTTCAGCGAATGGAATTTATATCTCGTCTACTATGTAGATTTTTTTTTACGTACGAGTTTTATTTTAGGGACGTAATGTAACTATTTGCCGATTAATATGGAATCTTGCTCTCATCCTGTACACTGGCAAAAAAACAACAACGAATGCATTTGTGGGGTAAATTTTTTATCCGGGAGTCGTTACAGTTCATCAAGTTACAAGGGGTGATTTATTGCATTCCCACTTAAAATATCGGTTATGTAGCCTGCTTCAAATCGTACAAGCTCTCTTTCTCTAGTGGATCACAGCGAGCATCTTTTTATGCCACTGGTATTTGTGCAACACGATTGGACACGGGCCGTTTTTTTTACGCGCATTGGCATGCGCATCACCACCGGCTGCTTGCGTGTAAACAACTGCCCGGGACCAGGATCCCCCAGCTCCGACTTAAGACCCTGGCCCCCGCCCCCGCCCCCCCCGCATTTAAACATGAGGGCGGGCAGCGCATCGCAAACGCCGAGCGATGCCGGCACACCGCCGAGAGTGCGTCTCTCTCTGCGGCGGTCACGGACGTCGCCGACGTTGCCGGCGCCTTCGCGTCGGCCCGACGAGAGCACCGGCGCCATCGCTCCGGCACAGCCCGGCAAGGCGTCCGAACTCCAACCTCGTTTCTTAATCTCTCTCCACCTTATTCACCCCCCCCCCCCCACCTCGTTTCGCCGTGTTTCCCGACCCCCGACTTGCTCAGCGATGAACGACCTGGTCCAGAGCATCGGCTACTCGCTCTCAAAACTGGGTGGCGTCAGCGGCGATGGCAGTGGTGGTGGCGGCGGTGTCAGCGGTGTCAACGGTGGAGGTGGTGGTGGCGGCAGCGGTGGCGTCGTTAACATTTCCAGCAGCTCCAAGACCCTGGAAAGGCAGCAGCAGCAGCAGCCGGCAGGATTGATGCAACAACAGAAGCAGCAGCAGCAGCAGCAACGTGCAGGCAGCATGGACGCGCTGGACGCGCCGGACGAGGGCCTCTCTCGGCACCGCCGGCGCGACCTCGGCTGCATGGCCTTCTCCACGTCAGCCGTCAACATGGTGGCCAGCACCTCCACGCCGAGCCTTCTCCTTGCGCGCCGCCGCCCAAAGGGGAAGATGCCAGGTGGGTGGGGGGGGGGGGGCAAACGTGTAAATCACGTTGCAATGTTTTGAAAAAAATGTCTTTAATGCACACTCATTGTGCGTTAACCCCATCGCGCACCTAGCGTGGCACAGCTTGTGTTTGTGGTTTATAAAACCCTTGTGGAGCGTGCGTCCCTTGGCTTTTGTTTGTCTTTTTTTTATCAGTGAGTTCGTCGTGCGAGGATTCGGCGTTGCCCAGTCCCCAGGAGCTGCATTCGTCCACACCAATGTCCAGCGCGACATGTACGTAGCCAACCGTGCGAATCGACCCCGGGCCATGCGTCGAGTACACCCACGAGTGGAGTGCCCATCATGTTACATGAGGTTTTGACTAAATGCCAGCTCTGAGAATTAAAAATCTCGCTTTGACTGTCATACAACAAAGTTTCTCTCCGTAGCAGGGCGCGTGGGAAAGTGCTGCCACTGGTGTACATAAGAGGTCACTTGAAGAGATTTCACAAGAAGTTTTGTGATATCCCCTGCCATTGACCGTTCAGTAACACGGGGCGATGAGACTCCTCTGTGCGAGTTCCGAGCGGATTCATTTTGTGATGTTACGCCGATGGCACGATTGGGATAAAACTAGAGGGAAAGACACAAAAAAAAGCCACTCTCGTTATTGATCTCGGTCAACAAGAGATTGTTCCTGGAATATTCTTGTAATGATAATGCACCAATATCACAATCTATTGCCGTACGACTCGAGCCGCTCGAACCCTCGCCACCCTCCCCATCCCGATCCGCCCGCCGGAGCCACCGAGCGATTAAAACCCGTGAGCGCCGACCCCAGCGAACGTGACCGTTTGTGATGTGTGCCGCCGCCGTCACGTCTCCTCCACGTTCCCTCCACGAACCCGCCAGACGGCGGAGCGTGGGAGATGGAACCCGCGGGGGACGCGGGGGCCTCCGTGTGCGCCGCACCGTGCCACTCCTGCTGTAAGTGCAGCGCTGGCATCGCTGCGGAGGGGGGGCGTCCCGCCCGCTCCCAGCCACCCCCCCATCCTCTCCCCTCACCCCCCATGCAGCCGCCTTTCGCGCTTTGTCTGCGCTTACCAACGCTTTTGCCCAAATGCGCCATCGCCTCGTTTGTTTTTTGCGGTTTGTGTTTCTTTTCATTTCCAGGGCTCTTGACCGGCACCCGACGCCGCCGATCGAAGTGCACTGCCCAGTGATCGTTTGGGTTTGGTGGTTTAATCCGGCCGTGCGGGTCGTGCCCCAACTTTGCGCGTGGGCCACAGCAGACACTGGGCTTTGTTGGGGGTGGCCGAGACTGTGGTGGTACTGGAATTACAGGAAACATTAACGGAATGCATGAGCTCAGTGTGCACGAGTACGCATTACACAAAGTAATCAAATCTCCCCACTTAACAGTTAACGCCGCCTGATAACAGAAAGAGCCCCAATCGGCTGGCGTATCGGTCAACGCGCCCGCTCCAACGAAGGGCGATTTCCACAGCGATGTCTGCGCATGGCATGAAGCGGACCGCGCTGTTCGTTGTTACTGGTCCGACAAGGATTAGCGGTTCCACTGGAGCCGTTCCGCGTCAGGTGGCCCCGGCGAGCGCAGGATCTGCTGTGGGCCCGTCCACGACTGTGGGTGGTGCTGCGCTCTTTGAGCCGCGGCGTGCGACAAAGGCAGCTTGACTCGAATGGAAGAGGGGAACGTTGCTCGGCTTTATCGTGGAGGGTCCGCGCCGAGGTTGCAAAGTTGTTGGACTTTAGTTTCCCGCCATGTCGCCACACCAATGTTCAGGGGTACGCTATTGAGGAACAGAAAGGTTTACAAATCGCGGTCAAGTGCGTCATCGAGAGCACTCTAGCGACACATCGCTACACGGACATTGTATGGCATAGCTGGGCCTTCAAATCCCACATAAGACAGGTCTGTGAAAAAAAATCCAGGTCGAGGATCGCCGCTGCTGTACGAATTTGCAGGAACGACCTGGGGGTGCCCTCGGCTGATGCACTACGATCTGCCACCTTCTCGCTGATCTTAACTCGGTGGCAGTCGCTGGACTCCAGGATGGGCCCCGGGAGCTCGTGAACAAAACTGCTGGATGCACAGTTAAATAACGCACTGCACTATCACAACCAGGACGCTGAAACCAACAACAATCTCCTGGTTCCCTGATCTGGCGAACATTCTGCCACCAAATATCCGTGAAGACATCGCCCAAACTGCAAGGGGCGTTTACACATTTTCTTGCCAACAACAACCAAACCTACCCATCAACCAAGGCCTCGACAGTGTACCTTGATACCGACTCAAGTTCCGACGAGTCTCCACCTAGTCCAACCAGATCCCAAAGAACGCCGGAAAAACGCGGACGTCCAGAATAAATACCTTATCCGGAACCCAAACATCATCGCACCTCCTGGCTTTCACATTCCTCCTCGAAGACAACCGTTGCCACCATCGGCCGCATCGGAACATCAACAGGCCGATGCGCACATCTCCTTCATGAGTGGGAAAATTAAAGACACGGCCACAGGAGTGCGACTGTGGCTATGCAACCCCAAACTATGGACCCAGACAGGAAACCACTGTAGTCTACGCTCCTTCGACGGAGGAGGAACGGCAACGCTGCACACACTCTCTCGTGAAGCCCGGTCACGGCTAGCAGACCTTGACGCCGGCACTTGGCTCCTGAACATATTGCTGCCCTGCGCAAGAATAGAAGACTTATTTTCTTATTCGAAAAAACTTCAAGCGCTAATGTCGCTCGGCCTGAGGCACGCACACACAGCCTTGGCACACATCTGCAAGGCAAGAGCTGTCAGTCTTTTTTTTGGGCTTGTGTCTTTTAAATCACAGAGATTGATTCAACCACCCGATTCGCTGTTGTTGGCGCGTCTCTGGACGATCGGGTGCCCGCCTTCCATCTCCGTTCGGGCCGAAAGCATGGCTTGAGGCTGCTTGATGCTACACAGGTGTCCAACTCATGCATTCCCAGTTTTGTTTCATTCCTGCGTGATGTGTTCCCCATTCCCCTTTCCCTCCTCCCTTCTACCTCCCCTCCTCCCCGACCTGGCTGTAACTTCACCTGCCTTCCCGCTCGCCCGCCCGCCTGCCCGCTCGCTCGCCCGCCCGCTCGCCCGCCCGCTCGCCCGCCTTCCCTCCATCAACGCCCTTCCCACCCCAAGCCTCCGGATCTTCAAGCATAGACGGCAACCGCCGGGACAGTAGCAATAGCAATAACAACGCCAGCACGCGGGCCAGCAGAGGTAATGCCTCTCACCTTCCCTGTGCCCCCCCCCGCCCTGTGCCCCCACGCCCCCCCCACCCATTCCCAGCGTCCGCTTGCCTCTTCATTTGTTTCGTAAATGAAAGTCGGTTACTGCTTTGCCGCGGCAGCGGCGTTCTCTCGTTGTTTGATCTCGTAGTTAAAAACCACATGGCCGTCCGCCATTGTGACTGCATTCCGAGTCACGCAATCTTTCTCTTCGATAAAACTGGCCAAATGTTTCTCGATGCAGGAGGGCCCTCCTGATCGACAATAAGCAATGGTATTAATACGACTATTATTATTTGTAAAGGCTTCGCATCGACAGCGAGCCAGGGGCCTAACGGTGCAACTGTGCGGCGCGGTTCGGCAGTTAATGGCGCGCCGGACAGCCCGGCGAGCGAGGAGCCGGTGTCTCCCAGGACGCCGGGGACCCCGGCGCCGCCTATTTCCACGCAGGTGGCGCCCTCGGCGCCGCCTGTGCCCGGCTTGCGGCAGAAGCCAGGGATCGGGTCGCCGGGCAGCGAGCTGATGACCCTCGAGCAGTTCCTGGAGGAGAGCAACCGCCTGTCGCCGACGTGCCTGGTACGTACGGCACCACTCTGCACGCCACCGCCGGCAACGTGATCGCGTGGCGTGTGCGGTGTAGTAGTAGTGTGTACGCACTGCTATGAACCCAGCTGCTTGCGTTCACTTCAATTCCCAGCCACGGCTGACATCAGCAGCGGCGAGCGATATCGGAGTGATATCTGAAATGACACGGCATGGAGATGCTTTATTCCAGCCAGAGAATGACTTAAAGGCCGAATTCAAGCCAAAAAGGGCATGCCAAATTGAGGCGGTCAGAATGTTACACATCCCTTGGTCTTTGACACAAATCCCAGGCCTGCAAATGAGCATCACCCCGTAGCACAATTGAGCAGCTGTGCTCCATTAATTTGGTGACCCGCATCTCGCAGTCCACTCAGGCAGGTCGTGCTTACGAGCTTGCCGTGACGACGCAGACTCCTACCACCTCCTCACCCTCCAACATGACCCTCCGCCCCTGCGTTCCCCCCGGTATCTCCCAGCGCAAGGTCGTCAGCGAGGAGAACATCCTGGACGGGCGGGAGGAGCGGCCGGCGACGGGCGAGGCGCAGGACCGGCGCCATCAGCGCGAGCGCGTCGGCTTCGCCGCCCGGGACGGCGTCCGCCCACCCAGACCCGGGCAGTACGTGCGGCCCAGCCCCCGCAACGGCAGCGCCGCGGACGGCGTCAGCGGCGACGCGTCGGGACCGGGTCTCGACGGCCAGCGCCGGGCGCTGTCCGTGGCCGAGCGGCTCGACCGGCTGCAGCAGCAGCAGCCGCGATTGTCGGATCCCGACGGGTACCTGCACGGGAGCAGCACGCTGCCACGCAAGGGGCTCTCCCTCCGGGACCGCCCGCCGCTCGCCGACGACCGGGGGGCCTCGCCGGCACGCGCCGCCTGCCGCGGCGAGGACGCCGGGAGCCCCGGCGGGGCCGTGGCATCGCCGCCGCCGCCGCGTCCCGGCTTGTCGGCCGGCGGGGTGGCGCGCTCGCCCTCGTGCAGCGTGCAGGAGCTGATGCAGCACGACCGGCGGCGACCTGTGTCGGTGGACGTCTCGCCCGTCGGCGACAAGGCGCCCTGCGCAACCGCCGCCCCGCCGGGTTCACAGAATTCCCAGCTTGCCGTAGAGCGGGAGGCGGCGGCGGTGGAGGCGGTGACGGCGGTGACGGCGACGGCGACGGCGGTGCGCGTGCATCAGCAGGAGACGCACCCTCGGCTGGAGCGGCCGCAGTCGTTTAAAGTCACGGCCGTGACGGCGAAGTCGTTAACGCCCGAGTACCCCTGCCGGCCGGTCGACACACGCCGCTTCTCGTTCGCCCCGGCGAAGGAGGAGGGCGGTGGTGGTGGCGGCGGCGGCGGCGGCGGCGGCGGCGGCAGCGGCGCCACAGCCCGGTGGTGCGTACCGGGGACGGGGGGCAGCGTCAGGAAATCGGCTACGGCCACGCAGATCGGATCGCCGCCGGGCAGCGGTGCGGCGAAGGAGATTGTGGTGACGCAAGTGCAGCTGTCGGTGGCGCCGCCATCGGGCAGCCTCATCCGGCTGCAGCGGCCCGCGCCGAGACCCAGCGACATCGCCATGGTGACGCCGGTGGTGGCGGTGGGGCCGGCATCGGGGTCGCAGGACGACGCTGAGCAACAACAGCAGCAGGCGGTGGCGCCGGTCGCCATGACGGGCACGGACGCGGCGGACGCTGGCGCCGTTACGCCGCCACCGCCCAAGGACGGCGCTCAGACGCCGCCCCAGGCCACCTCCACCCCAACGGACAAGCAGACCGTGTGGTACGAGTACGGCTGTGTGTGAAGGGTGGGGGGCGGCGAGCCAGAAGATTTTAGGAGGTGGGGGGGTGGCAGTGGTGGGGATACCTGAAACTTAACTCGACTTCCCTAGAGCCTGCCCACCACCACCACCACCATCATCCCGCCTCCTGAAATCCGGCCTCCTGAAATCACGCCTTCCCAGCACGATGCGATTGAGCAGAGCGAAATGGTTTTGTTTACTCTGGTCCGCTCGTGTTTTTCCAAAGCCGGAGGGAGGAGAGGCGCCCGTGGCTGGATTGACTTCACCGAGGGATCGCGGTACATTCCCGTCGGTCCCTTGCAGGACAAACCTGATGGACAACCCTGATGAATCAAACCCCTTTGCATGAGAATTCACAAACCCCCACCACCCCCTGCTTACACTACAGACGGACGGGCAGCAGCAGCACGGCAGTCGGGGAAGACTGGCGACGGACGGCAAGAGGAACCCTTCATCTCGTTCTGAATCGCGACCTATATCTTTGCGGCGTTGCGTTCTTTTGCTAGTTAAAGTTTTGCCTTTCCTTGACTTTCGTATTTTTTTCATCTTTATCCGTGGCCATCACCAAAATGTAGAGCGTTGTATTGAAGAGAACGATGGGAGTCAAAATTTTAAACCAAGGATCTTGTTTTTGTGTCACGTAGGTTGTAGCCGCGAGTGTAAAGAATGCAAAGCAATAATGTGTGTACGACAGGGAGGGGCGCGAGGGATTTTACCCCCGGACGTTAGCCCCTCCGTGTCCGTAGTTTACAAGCAACGCGTGATTGTAAAGGGAGAGCATTGCTTAACACTTCCAATCATCAGTCGGTTCGTTTTCCGAGCGCGGTCGTTTAAATCGTCTTCAACGCTAACGACAAATGCGGTTTGAAGCGCGCGGGCGGGGCCTGTCCATTGCATCGGCTCAGTGACAATTAAACATCTAAATATTTACCCAGGGGAATCTGGAGGAGTCTCGCGACCAAGTTTTAGGAGGTCAAACCGCACCGATTATATCGGCAACGTTCCATTTCATTGAGACCTATCAACTCGTGAGAGATCATAACCTTACCCCGTCATCGAGCCCTGTTTGTTGACCACCACCCTCCATTTACTTGAATGGATATCCGATAGTTAAATTAAACCGCCGTCAACTTTCGTACACGTCCATTTCATACAAGCAGTCGCCATTCGCTTGAACTGAGCCTCCTTCACCTACGTCACCCACGCGGCAGTGGCACAAACGCACAGAAGCTCATCTGGAACCCGCGTTGCGTGTTGTGATCGCGGCAGTGAAATTATGCGGCGGACGCCAAACGCATCGCTTGGTAGATCTCTGCACAGGCGCGGCGATTCTTTCACATACCTGTCAATCCCTTATCAGTGCCTAGCTTATTACAGACCAAGTCAGAACCTTATTGGTCACCCCGTGCCCCTTTAAATATCAACGTTCATCCTACAAAGTCCCATCACAAGGGAGAAACACAAACAAATAGACACTTTTCTAAATAATTTTTGTCCGTATTGAGAAACGGCTGTCCGCCGTGTGAACTTTCAAACTCAATTTCCCTGTACAAGAATACGGGTAAACCGTATGGGTTGACAGGTATGCTTTCGCTAGACCAAATATGAAGCGGTAACTGTCCTGGGGGAGGGCGAAGGGGGGGGAAGCCCTTCACCGAGCAGCGGTTAGAGATTTCGACGATGACTATTCTCAAGGGTACTATTGCACGTCGCTCGTCGCCCTTACTCTTGCGGACTCAAATTAGCCGGCGACGAGTTCACGCGTCGTCAGCTAATCGCCCGCGGCGCCGTGCGCTCAACGGGTTGCGTGAAGCCCCCCCTCGGCCTACTGTAGGCGCGCCGCGCCGCGCCGCGCGTGGTCTCCGCCCGCCGGCCGCGAGGCCCCTTGGTGTAGTTCGCCGCCTCGTGCGTAACGGTAGGAAGTCTTGAGACTGGGCTGTCGTTTTAATTGGGCCCCTTTTTATCGACGGTAGTTTTAAAGTTTTTTTTTAGTTAGCTCGTTTTTATTGTTATTTTTCGTAGAGTTTTTCGTTGGGTAGCCTGTAACACGTTATTTAATTAACGTCAGATTTTTATTTAAATACTTCATTCAGTCGGAACGGAGCCCTGAATTTTATACAAATATATATGCGAGACTCCATTTTATCTGTGACGGGCGGGCAAATGTGGGAGAACGGAGGTCAGAGATAAGAGAGGATTTGCACGAAAGAAAGAGGGTGGTGGATAAAAACGAGGTTCACATTTTATTTGCTGCAATCTACACTACACGATGAAGGTGACGATCGGGGACTTGGCTCGCAGAGAAATTATTCCACAAGGACTCTCGTGTGTTTTCGGGTTGCACCGCAAGCTCCGGTTCACGAAGAAGCTCCCGGCACGTGGCGCGAAATGTCGGTCGGGACTTCGTGCCGAACAACGCGCGGTACGCCCCAAATACGCATTGGGGGAGGTGTTGGGGGGAGGTGTTGGGCGCAGCCGCGAACACCGACGCAGCGGCGATGAACTCCACAAGTCGGTTGTCGTTGGTGAGTCGTCTGTGGAGGTCTCCGACCAGGAGAGCCTCGCTCAATCTCAAGGCTTTTCTCAGGAGGGTTCTGCATTTAGGTGTTTGGCAAATGTCTTTACCGAGTAGTTTTTTTTCTTCTATTCGCCAAGTTGAGGGAAAACCACGACAGTGCCCGGAGAAAACCCACACGTATGAGGCAATGACGCCTTTTGTAAAACAATTGTACGAATTCTTCGTGAACAGCCTATTTTTGCCTTCCGCAGGGCCAGCCTGTCACCCCTGAGCGGGTTGTGGGGTTTACGCGTCGCACACAACGAAGTGCGCATACATCTGCGCGATTCACCAAACCGCTGCCTCCAGGTCACCCTCCCCCCTTCCCCAGTGGGCGCATCGTGTTTGGCATCGGCGTCGGTGCTCGGAATGAAATGAGGTTCCTCACCCCCTGTCCATGTTTCCCTCTTCGTAGCCTCCTGGCGCCTTGGTGCAGGTGCACCGCCTGCGCACTCGAACGCTCCGCCACCCGGCCGCGGCCGCCGCCGCCAAACTCCACAATCTGAATACGACTTGAGCGAGCGGTTCATGATGAATTGGACGATTGGTTTTATGCAGCCGACAACGCTTCCACGAGTTGCCTCTCAACCCGGGTTTAACAGCTCTCTTGTTACTGCGTGTCCTTGCACTATGTAAGTTACCAACCGTGGGTTTTTTTAATCTATGGAATTAGTTTTTTTTACTACTATAACACTCCGTGTTGCCTGTCTGTCTGCAGCAGCAGAATCGACCTAACCTCCGTGTCCCACCACTTCCGTGCGACGTGACGTCGGCTGTCAGACACCCCCGCGTGTCACAAAGCTGTGTTTTTCTCAAATTCGACACCGTGGTTTTTTTTACTGACGTTTTTTTTTTCTACAAACTCCGCCTTTGTTTTACAATTTAAGTTATATTTGACGTTCACTTTCTTGAGACTGCTTTCCCAGCTGTTTTGAGATCGTAGCGATACGTATTCCACCCTGTGCTTTCTCACAGATGATTGACCGTCTTGCCTGATGTCGATGTTTAAAGTTGTACGTCAGCGTGTCGTGTCATTATCATTGCTGTTATTATTATTAAAAAGAGGCCGAGTCTGGATGTTACGGAGTTTTCTTCTCGCATCATCATAACAACAACAGCGGTGAACGGTCACCACACAATGCACACTCCAGTATAGTAATATTCTAATAACTCATACTGACTCAATACCAAAGGTGTGTGATCAGCGTGGAAGAGTAAACCAAGCCCCCCCCCCTAAGAGATGCCTCTCGTCGGGAAGCCCATCCGCCAGCTGTGGTTGTCGGCAAGAAATTGCAGGGCTGCCACTGCGACCTCTGACCCAACGGGTACCGCGCAAATACCCACAGCGCAACCACACGATGCACCCCTTACGGCGTGAGTCAGTTCACGAAACGTCGATCGCAGCACGCGGAAGCGAAACGTCGGACAACGGAAACGCATCGGAGAGCCGCTACCCCCCCACCACCACCACCGTGCACGTGGGAGGAAACCCGGGGCCCGCACGCCAAAGTCCGCGCACAGAACAAGTTCACGAACCCGTTCTGTGCGCGCCTGAAGTCCCCTGGCCAAACCTCGCAGCCAACGCTTAGCGACCTCGCACGTCATTGCTGATGACAGGCGTGCGGTTAGGGGCCATCCATTTAGTGCGTACGCATGGAGGGGGATGGTTCACCCAAATGCGTACGCTTGGGGGGGTCTACTGACAATGTACGCATAGGAAACGGGGGGGGGGGGGGGGGTTAAAGCCTCGATAATTATTTGTCTACATTGGCCTTCAAATGAGTTGGATAGTCCGGCGGTGGACGATCTGTTTGCTTAAACACGTGAATATTATGAATCCTTGATCGTTTCTGCGTGGATTAAATATTGGCCATTCTATAGGACTCGGGGGGGGGGGGTGCGTTAAGCGAACGTACGCGGGGGGGGGGTCAAGTTTTGACATCTTTGCGTACCTACTAAATGCATGGCCCCTTAAGAGACGACGCTGTTCATCACGCCGGGATGTTGGCAGCAGCAGGCGCCAGCCGATTCCGTGCCACGGGGGGGCGCTCTCCCGCCAGCATTAGGCCGCCTTCTCTTCATCCCCATCTTCTCTTCCTTACGTTGGCCCAGTTATCAAGTTCAAGTTTCGCATGTGATTTGTTTAGCCAGGTGAGAACTGGTCACGGGTCCAGGATGGGTCTTTTACAATGAGTGACCTCTACCAACAAAGATCCCCCCCCCATCTCACCTTAACATAATAACTATGAAGTCTTACACAGTACACAAGGTGGCCAGCACCACGCCCGACCGCCTTTGTCTCCCCAGTGGCGATGTTTACCACCAGGCTTCTCATTTGAGGGAGTACCTAGGGAGGCCCCAGGACCGGTTCAGGTAAATCGTCACCGGTGTTGTGCCGCGAGAGCGGGAATCGAACTCGGGGCCACCGGGTTCGTAGCGCAGCACGCGAACCGCTCCCCCACGTGTACTGAGACAACAGCAACAACAACAAGCCACAACCATTGTCGTCGTACCCAGACGCCGTAACAACGATGAACAGATGAGCACAATCGACCGAGATCGGAGAGGGGCGCTTGCACCAACTTGCACAACACCGCCCGCGGAACATCCCAGCGGCGTCCGGAGAAAAAGAAAAAGAAATCCGCTGCACACCGAGATGGGCAGCGATACCCATCAAAGAGGCGAGCACCCAGACGGGCAATCTGAACGGCCCTTCATATGATCCATATGGCGGAAACCCGGGGTACCAAATAATACAAAATGACCGAGCCATCTTCTTGGTTCTTTCGGTAAAGTCACGTAAAAGGGAAATAATAAAATAATAAAAATACAACAAAATAATTCTCACGACGTTTCGGCCACAACGCAAGCAGCCGTCCTCGGGTGAAGAACAGGTCTGTCGGAAAGACAGACACACCTGTTCTTCACCTGAGGACGGCTGCTTGCGTTGTGGCCGAAACGTCGTGAGAATTATTTAATGTTTTATTTTTATTATTTCCCTTTTACGTGACTTTACCTAAAGAACCAAGAAGATGAATCCCTGCAGTCACGAAAGCTTTAAATCGAAATATGACCGAGCCAATTGTTTTATTTCTGGGAAACTTTTTGGGTGTACTTCACTCCGCGACTGGGGTACCAATCAATCTGAAATCAGTGCCACTCCGCAAGGACGATTGCGCCGAAACTCTGAACGCTCGTACGCACCGTGGTGCATCGTGTACAGCTCGTCAAGATGAGTCGATTGCCGCATCGCCGACCATCGACAGACTAAAAATGACTGCATCACGGACATGATGCGAGAGCCGGGGTGCTATAGAACCCCGGGATGCTGGCATCGGCGGTGTTTGGCTTCGATATGGATTTGGGCGAGTGGGCAGGCGTTCGCTTTGTCCCTCGCGTAAGGAATCACGGATGAAAAAATTGTATTTATTTATTTTAGCTGAATTAATACCGTGTCAACCCATACGGTTTTTACCCCGTGTTCTTCTACAGGGAGATTTAGTTTTTAGATCCATATGGCGTACAGCCGTTTCAATACGAGCAAAAATATAATTGCCTGTTTGTGTTTCTCGCTTGTGATGGCACTTTGTAGGTTGAACGGTGATATTTATAAGGGCACGGAGTGACCAATGAGGTCTGAATTGGTCTGTAATTAGGGGTTGGCAGGTATGTTGATAGTAAACCACTAAAATAATGAGAATAGAGGTGGCCAGTTTGGGCGGGGCATTGCACCACCCCCACCGCAACTTTATCCCCAACACCCTGCTGTTTGGATTTCAGTTCCGAGTTTTACTGGTAGGAACCTCCTGGTTACACCAGCCCACAGGGGATTATTGTGTCCGTCGTGCAGGGAGGGGCTGGGTGGAGAGGGGCTGGGTGGGGAGGGTGGGGCTGGGTGGGGAGGGGCTGGTCACCCCCCGGTGCCCTTATAAAACTCAATGTTTAACCTACTCACGCCGGCTTGTGCCCGCCCTCACAGTCGAGCATATTTGCGGAATACACCACGCCGCCGTTGACCCTGGCCATTGACCGAGCAACCAAACGTTCCTACCAGCTCCCTCCGCAGGAATGTGTTTAATATGCACGATGGCGTGCAGAACGAGTGGCGAGTTTACACTGAACCCAATCCTGGGACCCCTCTACCCCACGCACCAATCCGCACGAAGCAGCTGCGGTGAAGTATGGTCAAAGCAACCTGATGTGGGGGAAGCCTTCATCCACCATTGGGCTGACAAAGAGGGCTCTCAATTAAACTATACTAACTAGTTCGTTTTTTTTGCCAGGTAAGGCCCACTGAGCTATTTTTCAGAAGCGAGCTGGCTATCACAAATGATAGCTCAACGAGTTGGTTTATCATCACGTGGAGATTGATCGCAGCCAATATCCACTTGATGAGCGCATTTTGGTTATAAATTTGGAGGGAAAAACCGGAGGACCCGGAGAAAAATCCACGCGACCACGGGGAGAGAGAGAGACACCGCAAACTCCAAATATACAGCAGCAGGCGTCAGGGTCGGGAACGAACCTACGACCGCTTGTATACCAGGAGAGGTAGTAAACACCTCGCAACTCTATTACATTATTAAGCGGGGAGAGAACTAAAAACGAGCCCCCATCCCCCTGGAGGCTAGGCCCTGCTTTTATCTGAAATATTTGGATGTAAACCCACGAATTCATCCCAGTGCCGCCACGTGACTCAACCCAGCGGCACGGGGCCAGGGCAGCTCCCTACCCCCCTCGCTCCACTGCCCCCTCACCCAGCCCCTCACCCAGCCCCTCCCCCAGCTCCTCTACCCCCCACCCATCTCACAGCTGCCCCCCCCCTCTCACCCCGTCCTCACATCCTCCTCCTCTCGCTGCGGGTTTTGCTGCACTGCGGTTCAGTAGAGCGGAAGAGAGGGAGAAGGGGAGGGGGTTGTGGGAGATGATGATGATGGAGCGAGAGGGAGTTGGGAGGTAGAGAGAAAGTAGAGAGTGGGAGGGAGGGAGCGAGCGAGAGGGAGGGAGAAGGCACGGGATCAACATCAGCCCCTGCCCTGCACCCCGAAGAGACATCAGCAGCTGCTGCCACATCCTCTGCAGCGGCAGCAGCGGCAGTCTCTTGCTGCAATGCAGCTGATTTGCCGATGCACCCCAGACGTCCGTTGTCGCGCCCTCTGCACCAATGCCCCGTCACTCGGGTTGGATTTCATTTAATTCATCGGCCAGGCTGCCCCCTGAAGCCGTCCCCACTGGCGCAGCGACCTATATGCATGAACGACACCGAAGGTCGTCGATCGGCTCCCCCGGCCACAGGACAAACGAAGTGTCGATTAAAGCGCACGCAAATTGTCCGCGTGCGTCTGTGAACCTCCCCGCCTGAGTCTACGGGCCTCCGTGCGAGTCTGCGGGACTCTGTCTAAGTCTGCGAACCTCCCCGTGTGACCGAGTCTCTTATCTCAAAGCCATGGGGCCGCAATGGTTAACGCCGTTGCCACGATTTGAGAAGTTCGCACGGCTCCTGCCGCCGTTGACCGGGTTTGCTCACAACCTCGCGACACGAACAGAGACAGAGATTGGTTTGTTGTCGATCAAACTCCCCGCCATACAAGAGACAGAGCGTGCTTTGTGGTGGCTGCGGCTGTGGTGCTGGTGCTTCCAGTTAGTGTGGGGATTGTTGTTGTTCGTAAAACAACGAATGTTTGGGGAGAGCGGTGGCGCAATGGTTAGCGCAATGCGCTGCAGAACGGGGCTGCCTGAGTTCGATAGCCGCCCACGGCGACATTTCAGTGGCGAGGGATATCTGAACCGGTCCTGTGGGCTTCCTCTCCTCCCCTGTGTCACCAGCCCCGCAATGACCGGCGTGGTGAAGTATGGTCGAACAACACCCCATGTGCGACGCGGCGTGGGAATGCCTTCGTCCAGCAGTGGATTGACAAAGAGCTGAATTTCACTCAACTCCCGTTTGTTCAAATAATTTTGGTGCGTGTAATTATAAACGATTAGACGGATATGCAGTATCCTGATGTCCATGTAACACGCGACAGTAATTAGAAACAACAACAGAGCGTTTTGACAGTCACCGAGAGGAAAGAGA